ATGGAAAGAAGTCTAAATTGGAATTTGCAGTTTACCCAGCACCACAGATATCAACGGCTGTTGTTGAGCCATACAACTCTATCTTGACCACCCATACTACATTAGAGCACTCTGACTGTGCCTTTATGGTTGACAACGAAGCTATTTACGACATTTGCCGCCGTAATCTTGACATCGACCGACCAACATACACCAACTTGAACAGATTAATTGGTCAGATCGTCTCCTCCATCACTGCCTCTCTCAGATTCGACGGTGCTCTCAACGTTGACTTGACAGAGTTCCAGACCAACTTGGTACCATACCCACGTATCCATTTCCCTCTCGCCACATATGCCCCGGTCATCTCTGCCGAGAAGGCCTACCATGAACAACTGTCAGTTGCTGAAATTACCAATGCATGTTTTGAGCCAGCTAACCAGATGGTGAAATGTGATCCCCGTCATGGCAAGTACATGGCTTGTTGTATGTTGTACAGAGGTGATGTTGTCCCTAAGGATGTCAACGCTTCTATTGCAACGATCAAGACCAAAAGAACCATCCAGTTCGTGGACTGGTGTCCAACTGGTTTCAAGGTTGGTATCAACTACCAACCACCAACCGTTGTACCAGGTGGTGATCTCGCCAAGGTCCAGCGTGCCGTGTGCATGTTAAGCAACACCACTGCCATCGCCGAGGCTTGGGCTCGTCTTGATCACAAGTTTGACTTGATGTATGCCAAGAGAGCATTTGTTCACTGGTATGTTGGTGAAGGTATGGAGGAAGGAGAGTTCTCCGAGGCCCGTGAAGATTTGGCAGCCCTCGAGAAGGATTACGAGGAGGTTGGTGTCGACTCCTGTGAAGGTGAAGGTGAAGAAGAAGGAGAAGAATATTAAGTAAACAATAAGACATTTAAATTGTTCAAAACTATGTTAATATGACCGGTAAAATCCACTTTTAGATAAATCTCTAAACGTTTATTTGTTTATCTTTTGATTAATTGTTATTCCTTTATTTATATTTTGAATGTTCTGAAACTTTGTTATTCAAATGTTGTTAAGTAAACCTATAAAATAAAAATAAGGGAAATTTTTATTATTTTTTTTTATATATACACGAAATAATTTAGCATTAAGTTTTGAGGCACAATGAGGTACATGTATATAAGGTGGACGGTCATGATACAGTATCGAAATAATCCTGTAACTCTGTCAAGTGCACATTTTCATCCTGCACATATTTTATGTGTTCAGCTAAATCTCAAACATCAGACATAGCTGATATGCACATTAAAGGTAGCGGCCTCTTATATAAGGCTCGCCAAGCTGTTTGGTTTATAGTTAAATGTGGGTCATATAACCTGTCAAAAATATGTCGTAGTAGAGTAGAAGAAGTTTTCAACCTGGTCGGGACTCGAGCCAGAGACAATCTGTATTCAGTTCCTTAGCTCTATCGACTTATCTGTCTGTCCCTCAGTGTTATACAGTGACACAATGGTCTTGTTGCTTTGTACATGTATTCTCTCGGAGCAACTGTACCAACAACAACTCGACTGGTCAGTCTATATTGGTGTTAATCTATAGAAATTGAACCATACATACAAGCTCTAAATTATATCTGGATATAAATGTAACCATGTGTTGTGCAAAGACGCAATGTCAATTCATAGCATTTAAAAAACTACTAGAATAATTAAAAATGTACGAACACATACGAGGTAATGTCACCTATAATATACGACATTTGTCAAGTTGGACATTTTTCTCGTTCTAGCAAGAGTTGCCGAAGAAAAAAAACCCATTAAATTCAGACTGAAGCACAAAAATGCCATCATGTACATAATGACAACTTTTCGCAAAAACTTTCTTTAAAGATATTGGTGTTTCCTTGAGAAATTAACATTAATTTATCAGAAAATAAGTAAATACGTTCATGTAGTTAATGATCATAAAAGAAATACAATGTATTTCTATTTAATGCCTAAAACTGCCACTTTTTATAAAGGGAAGATTCCAGAAAATAACAGATCATCCAGACAGGGCATTTCCCCGTAAATGGATATTTTTCTCGAATAGTTAATGATTAGTGAAAAACATTTGGACGTGTCGCGTTAGTTTAAAGCACCAACGCGCAACCTTTCGTATTCAACAACCTTTGTATCAACGTTTTCCAGATACGTATGTATCTTACTTTCATGAAACATTGCTATGATTTCGTGAAAACCTCCATAGCTTTAGCGAAACTTTCATTGAAAGATTATTAATAAGTGATGGCGTACCTATGTTCAAGATCTGAAAACATAAATTCTAACATCATTATTTTTTGCCACTTGCTATAGAAAAAAGTATTACCTGGTCGTGATAAGGTTTTAGTGGGCGTCCGTGATCGAGTGGCTAAGGCCGTTGTCTTCAAACCACTTGCACCTCACCGCTGTGAGTTCGTATCCCGGCGGGGTTTCCAGCTAACGTACGGAATGTCGGTGGTTCTACACAGGTGTGCGTACATGATAGAAATAGATCACGAAAGGGCACCTCAGGTCCACTAATGAAAGCTAGGAAGTGTCGATATATGACCTTTACAGTATTGGTGCGACGTAAACCCAACGTTGTATTTGTTTGGTTTTATTATAATTACGTGTAGGTTGATGTAGAACTCTTTATATTTATTGAATATCACGCCTATCATTGGTTTTATAAAATGAAAGGTTAAATCTACTTATATAGTCATTCATTTTTAGCTATCAGAAGAGATTAAATAGTGTTTTTATATATTTTTACGTCTTTCCTTGTGTGCCATAATGTAGCCACGAGCTATAATGTAAAAAGCAAAGAGCTTTATAGCAGCGTCTATAAATATATAATTTAGGCTACTTATATAACCATAAAGGTTTTAAATGGCCATGATATCAAAGACATATTTCTAAAACGAAATGGAGTTTTCTCTTTTATGCATGTGATTTCAAGTTTAATAACCTGCTGATGGTTAACGATGTTCCTTGAATATAGATGAGTTTTAGTAGGCTAATCCTTGTAGGTAACTATAAGAAACAAATAACAAAACATAAGAAAGTAATTTCACATGTACATTGATTGTAAATCTGTCGAATCGTAAACGTTCAGGTATTGTTTGAATTGTCGCAAGTATGTCCTTCAAATCTAAATAAAGATAATAAATTAATGTATGTGTAAATAAGTGATAGTTGCCATTTGCATATACATGTACTATTTTGGTATACACGCAGTTTAGGTTTGATGAAATATATATAATATCTAGTATTCTGTTAGTACGGAATACCGGTGGGCACATATTAACTTCATGAATTCATGATTGCACTATAACGAAATAACGATTTAATCTCCAAGAATTTCAGTTTTCAAATAATCAGCAATTCAAGTTCATGAATTATTTCTACTTCAATTCGTTATGTTGAAAGTTTTAGTGAAAGAAGTTGAAATCATAAAGTGTTATGATGCTTATAACCTGAAATAATTAAGTAGCGCTGAATGTAAAACTATTTGTAATAAAAGTAGAAAAATGTAAACAACGTAGTGTTTTAACTTCCATACCAAATACTAAATTTCTATAACTGTACCCATTGACAATAAGCAACATATGAGCCGCGTCATGACAAAACCAACATAATGGGTTTGCGACCAGCATGGATCCAGACCAGCCTGCGCACCCGCGCAGTTTGATAAGTATCCATGCTGTTCGCTATCAGTTTCTCTACTTCCCATTATGTTGGTTTTGTCATGACGCGGCTCATATGCAGATGGTGGTTCAAGTAATTGGGGAATGAGTATTTTTTTGAAACTAGCAGGACAACAAAAGAGAAATAAGTAAATAAAACACATTCTGAGGTATAATGGGCCTTTAACTTCAAATTCTAATATTCTTTAATATCGATCACATCTTGTTCACAAGACTCACATCTACAGTTTCCAGATTTGAAGTATTTTATACCTTTGGACTTAGAAGTTTACTACATTTATAAACCTTCTTAAGGGATTTACTTCAGACTTCAAAAATTTGTTCGTTATCATCTTCCACAAAATGTTTGACAAGACTCATAATCTAGCTTCTTTATAAGAATTATCTAAGCTCACCTATCTAAGCTTTTGGACACAAAAAGTACACCTCTTGTAGTTTCAGAGTTATGTCCCGGACAAAGTTCAAAGTGAGATAATTCCAAAATTAGACAAGGCAGAGTTACTGTTATTTGTCCTGCTCTTCTACTCAATGAGATCTATCTGCCTGTTATACCTCTTGTACTTTCGGACACAGCGCACAGTGTAAAACTGGAAAAGGGCAATAACTCCAGAAAATAGGCAAGGCAGAGTTACGGTTATTTTGCACTGCATATCTACGCAATAGAACTATTTACCTACAAAGTTTTATGTTAATATCTCTTATAGTGTCAGAGTTATGTCCTGTACAAAGTGTAAACATGGACAAAGGGCAGTAACTTCAAAATTATACAAGGCAGAGTTACGGTTCTTTTGCAATGCACATCAACCCAATGAGATCTATCTACCTACTGAGTGTCTTGTTCATATCTCTTTTACTTTCAGAGCTATTGTTCTGGAAAATGTCCAAAGAATAAAAATGAAATAAGGTAATAAATCAAGGAAGACAGAGTAACGGTTTTTCTGCAGTGCACTTCTATTTAATGAGATCTATGTGCCTACAAAGTTTCTTGTTGATACCTCTTATTGTTTCAGATCTATGTCCGGGAAAAAATCAATGTGAAAAAATGAACAAAGGGCAATATACATGTAATTATATCATAGTTGATTTTTCCATAGTTTTGTCTTACTGCGTCTAATATAAAGTTTATTTGATTGAATTCATCTCTCATTCTCTATAGAGCCTTTTTTTAAGTATTTTATTTGCAATTCTAAAATTTGCCGACTTAACGAGTCGGCGAGTTTTAGAATAACCAGATCTGATATAACATAAGTTTAGATAACAACATAGAAAATATCGACTTCATAACGGAAGAACAATGATGAATAACAACATCAGTTTTTTATTTATTCAAATAATATAAATCGTTTCTGTTAAAGCTGATCTTACAATACATTTAAAATTGTGTTCATAAATGTTCATTATTCCTGATTAAATTGTACGCGTGTAACAAAAAACATTTTGTGATTGGTCTAAAAATGAATATTGCTAAATAGAGAAACACAGTTATTCTAAGTGTTTGAATAATTTTAATGTCTTATTGTTTACTTAATATTCTTCTCCTTCTTCTTCACCTTCACCCTCAACGGAGTCGACACCAACCTCCTCGTAATCCTTCTCGAGGGCAGCCAAATCTTCACGAGCCTCGGAGAACTCTCCTTCCTCCATACCTTCACCAACATACCAGTGAACAAATGCTCTCTTGGCATACATCAAGTCAAACTTGTGATCAAGACGAGCCCAAGCCTCGGCGATGGCAGTGGTGTTGCTCAACATGCACACGGCACGCTGGACCTTGGCGAGATCACCACCTGGTACAACGGTTGGTGGTTGGTAGTTGATACCAACCTTGAAACCAGTTGGACACCAATCAACGAACTGAATGGTTCTTTTGGTCTTGATGGTAGCAATGGCGGCGTTGACATCCTTGGGGACAACATCACCTCTGTACAACATACAACAAGCCATGTACTTCCCATGACGGGGATCACATTTCACCATCTGATTAGCTGGCTCAAAGCATGCATTGGTAATTTCAGCAACTGACAGTTGTTCATGGTAGGCCTTCTCAGCAGAGATGACTGGGGCATATGTGGCGAGAGGGAAATGGATACGTGGGTATGGTACCAAGTTGGTCTGGAACTCTGTCAAGTCGACGTTGAGGGCTCCGTCGAATCTGAGAGAGGCAGTGATGGAGGAGACGATCTGTCCGATGAGTCTGTTCAGATTTGTGTAGGTTGGTCTCTCAATGTCAAGATTACGACGGCAAATGTCGTAAATAGCTTCGTTGTCAACCATAAAGGCACAGTCAGAGTGCTCTAATGTAGTATGGGTGGTCAAGATAGAGTTGTATGGCTCAACAACAGCAGTTGATACTTGTGGTGCTGGGTAAATTGCGAATTCCAATTTAGATTTCTTTCCATAGTCAACGGACAGACGTTCCATAAGAAGTGATGCGAATCCGGATCCGGTACCGCCACCGAAGGAGTGGAAGATGAGGAATCCCTGGAGACCGGTACACTGGTCAGCCAACTTACGGATTCTGTCGAGGACCAAGTCAATGATTTCTTTGCCAATGGTGTAGTGACCACGGGCGTAGTTGTTGGCGGCGTCTTCCTTGCCGGTGATGAGCTGCTCGGGGTGGAACAACTGACGATAAGTTCCGGTTCGAACCTCATCTGACAAAAAATATTCAAATTTGTATTTCTTTTTGTGTAATGAGTTTCTCATTTGTATCTCATTTTTATAGATTTTGTAAGAGTGTAACTATTTTATCGCATAGATATAATTTAGAGCACGATTTTATTACTGCAAACATTTTTATCGGCGTTGTATATGTTGAACCTTGTGCTCGATGGAATTGATAGTTTTCTGTCTGATATGAAATATAGCTTTGACACTTTTAAGAGACTTGAAATATGTGGTTTCAGATATGGTCATTCAAAATCAACAATGGTGCTACAAGCAGTTATCAAAATTTTGACTTCAGTGTTTCAATTTTATCTGTTCTAAAACATTTTTATCAGTTCCAACATTTACTTAGTCTTCCCTATTGAAACCAATGGTATTAGATATAACTTAAAGCGTTAAAGGTCATTCATACCGACTACTGTTGGTTCCAGGTCGACAAACACAGCCCTAGGAACATGTTTCCCGGCTCCAGTCTCGCTGAAGAAAGTGTTAAAGGAGTCGTCTCCACCTCCAATTGTCTTATCACTGGGCATCTGACCGTCAGGCTGGATACCGTGCTCGAGACAGTACAACTCCCAACAGGCGTTACCGATCTGGACTCCGGCTTGGCCCACATGGATGGAGATACATTCACGCTATAGATATAACAAGAAATAATTGTAAAAAAAATCATTTATTCAGCTATAACTTTTATTTCAATCGTATATTTAACTGATCGAAATATTTTGTATTCAATGAGTTAATTAGTCTTTATTAGACATTGTGTCCATAAAAGACAAGTACTCTGTCAGTTACAATTTTGTGTAATATGTGTTTTGAAAAACCTACATCATATGTATAATACTCGAAACATAACAAATTAGATATATGCCTTCCCTTTCTTGCATTTTAGGGTAAAGATAGCATGAATTCTTTTAGAAAATCGTATTTAGGAATCAATGTGCCCATCAAAAGGGCCGCATCAAAAGTGTACAAAGTAAACAACTTACATTTCAATTATATAGACTAAAGTATTTTCTGTTTACATCATTCTCAATTCAGTTTTCTTTTGATTTTATTCATACTTCATATTTAGATATTTGTTTTATAACAGCATAAACGTTGAATGGGCGTCTTGGGAATGGAATTGTTTGCTTAACTCCCTGAATGTGATCAATTGACAAAAGGCGGTTACTTTAGGACTGTTTAAGTTATATTAACATAATCAACATGTTTAAACGTGATACGGCTGTTGAAATAAAGAACTTTGTACATTTGTACAGACCCTTATGATTTACATTGAACAAATATTTGTTCTTCAAACATCTTGATGAAAGAACAAATTTAATGACAATGCTTAAGATTATTTTCAAGTAGTTAACTGGGGATAATTGTGTTATTTAAGCTGTTTATAACGACAATGATTTTAGATACTAAATTGTACAGATGTTAAAGTCTTTAGAAAAATATGTATCAAATAAAGCTTTGTTTCTAAATAATCGTTTGTAAAGTGGTCATAAAATACATGTTTTGGTTTAAAGTTAGATAAGATCTTATTGGTACGGTTGAGTATGGTTACAAACAATACAATACATTTACTGTAACCGAACTTAAACGTACATCATGTCAGCGCGGTTTAAATTGATTTTTAAAATATAAAAAATCATCACTGGCAACTATTCAAGTATTTTCGTAAAGATATACGGAAAGATTGAAAATGCTAATTATAAAGAAGATATTGTTTTTGGCATGAATATTATTAACTATGTCATATTTGTGATAATTCCTAAACTAAATGATAATAATAATAATAATAATAATAATAATAATAATAATAATAATAATAAACAATAATAATAATAATATGATAAAAACGCACTTTATTGCCTTACACAGCCTTAATCACAAATATATATATTTTTTCATCATATCCTAGTGTAAAAGGACCAGCTGAGAGATAGAAAAGAAGTATCACAAGTATATTTATTCATGTCGATTGGATTACTTGTTTCAAAAATAAATGATGATTTTTAATTGAGCAAAATGCACGAACATTTTCAAATGGCATAAAACTGCAGCATGTTCAACAGCATGTGAAGTTTAACTATGATGCAAATAATTAGGTAACAAAATCGAAAATATCTTATTTTAAAATTATTTTACATTTAATCGTTGATTGTATGTAAAATTTAAACGAAAGAAAAATTATTTGATTAAGATATCGTTCACATGTTATATTTTATTGTGTTAGATTGGATTGAATATTCTTATATATTTCATCTACTGCAATTACATGACACACAATAAGAAATAATCATTATGTCTAGTTAATTACACATCAAAATATTTCATCTTATTTGAAATAACATAACATAGCATATATTTTATTTAACATTAAATTGTACAAATCATAGTCAAGATTTTGTAAATCGAAACACACGATAAATACCAATTTATGAATGACACAAATATGCCAGAGACAAAAAATGTATAAAAATTTCTTTATAATTTTTACAATTTCTACAATACATTGTTGTTTTAAATAGAAGAATTCATATAACTATATTGTATAATCATTATTATTATTATTATTATTATTATTATTAACAATTTGTTTGTAAAATAAATAAATATAAAAAAAGATGAAAGAAGCACTAACCATTTTGTCAACTGTTTTCTGTGAAACGTTATGGTCTCGGATAGCAGAAGTTGTGTGCCTAGTTACTATCGTTGCGCGCTATTTGTACCAGTCATTGTTTGTTTAACAAACAACTCTGAAAAATAAATCACTGATTGCTAAAAAATCGGGTATGGTGGCTAATTCACGCTACCATTCTGATCGGGCAGACATGCGAAGACAGAATTTTCATTGACGTAAACGTTTCGGTTTTTTGTTTTTGTTTGTTAATTTATTTGGGTTTTTTCTCATACATTATGATATAATACAAATTTATCATGTCATTTAATAAACACAATTAACATTGATTACATTGTTCTAATTAATGTCACAAAAGCGGCTTGGCTACATTGAACCGCGGTGTTTATTTTAATTTACGAAGGTTCTGAAAATATTAGGAGAATTTAAGAGTATTAGAGATAACGGCGCGGCCTCAACATATGTGACATAGTTTTAAGATATCTTCAAAAGCATTTTCACATTCTTATAAACGGCTAGCTAGGAGTAACAACAATTTCATCGCATACGAAACCACATAATTTTTTTGTTTGTCCTTGCGAATGGTCTTGTTTACGTAGGGAACAGGAAAATGAGTAGATGACTTATGCGACGATTACATGTAAAGTTTCTTATTTTAAATATTTTGATATGTAAATAAATAAAGAAATGAATGAATGAATGAATGAATGAATGAATGAATGAATGAATGAATGAATGAATGAATGAATGAATGAATGAATGAATGAATGAATGAATGAATGAATGAATGAATGAATGAATGAATGAATGAATGAATGAATGACAGTTTAATAAGTAGTTGTTGAAAATAAAAAACAAACAAACATAAAAACAAAACAAAAATACGTATTTATGCCTAAAGCCTACTCCGCCTTACTTCGATCTAAAATTAATTTGTCATTCACTCATCATGCCACGTTTCATTCATAATCTGTTTTAAAACTAGTAAGTTATTGCCCTGCTTTTCCTTCCATAAATGCCAAATATTGAAATTTTCTGACGGTCTATTTTGCATAAACTGCCTTCCATAGGTTTATTTAACCGGCATGCTTTTAAACGTCGCGTCCATCGCGCGTCTGCCTAAAGAGGTCAACGATTAAGTTAGTTAGATATACTCTTTATATTTATAACATACAGTACATTTGTATTTGATATGTTATTATAAACGATATAAGTACTATCAATGATTTCTAAATTAACATAGTTGACATATGTACAAAAATGCATTCAATACCATATTTTAAGATATTTACATATTATAATAACGTCCGGTGTAACTACAATATACATCAAACATGTGGTTAAGGCATTCATCCTGTAACAGAATGACCAGGTTAACAATAGTTTCAATTAGTAGCAGTGGTTGACAGGAAGTGCAGGATCCATACATTACTATTTTCAAGGACTTTATGGTTCTTAATCTAAATAACGAAATTTAGGGAGAAATTTTAAGAGTACTTACATAAAACAAAATGGCATAGCCAATGTATAAATGTGTGGTATAAATATATTCTGATAGAATTTAATTTTTCATTCTTTTGACTAGATTGACATTAAACGCTAATCAATTGTTCTATTTTTAATTTTATGATGTCTTATCGAAACAAAATAAAAGATATCTATAAGGAAGATAGAAACTCATATATTGTCATATGTAACTAAAAAGAAGGCCATTTTTTATGTCTGATGTACAATACAGATAAAGTTATAATGTTAGGTTTATATCGCACGGGGACATGCCATCATCTAATCCAAGAGTATTCATATGTCTGGCACCTAAGAAAATGCCCCGAGCTATTACAGCACCTGTGTCGGGATACTGATGGTCCAATGTTTTGGAGAACTTTTCCCAGAAATGAGCGTCTAAGTTCGTTAAACAGTGGGCAATCGGATAACCATATAAGCTATTACGTCGCTCTTTAAGAGCTGTTTAAATTGTTGTTGTTTTCTGTCATTTGCGTCTCACTAGTGTTATATTACATAAATGATGGCATCATTAAATAAAGGCTTCTAGTTAAGCAACAATTGTTGTTCTTTTATAATTCCCAAATAAAACCAACCAGTACTAGTACCTTAGAGCCGTTATTGATTTGCATTGGTGAACAATTATATATACTGTATATAAATATTTAATCTGTTCAAAGATTTATATATTTGAATGATTTCATTTAACTAAATGGTAATTGTTTAAATGGAATTTTATGACGCTTCGTAAAGAGATGAGAAAAGACAGGCTCATAATATTCAAAGGTGATAAAACGTATAAATCAAATATATAAAGCAAATAGGCAAGGTGGCCCAGACTCATCTAAAAAACTATTTGAATTATCCTAATACATCACAGTATGTACCTTTTTGCTTGACAACAACAGCCTAAGCAGTGCATCCTCCTTTATTATTGTTATTCAGGTTACTGCATGCGCGGATCCAGGAAATGGACTGGTGGTTAGGGGGTCATGACCCCCACCACCCTCACCCTCCTGGGATTTGGTTAGTATTGGGACACTGCTAAGAAATGGTTATCAACTTACGTTGTTTCACCGACAATCATGCAAAAAAATAACAAAAGTGACACATTAGCCCCCTCTCCTCTCTGGCAAACCATTACCCCCCCCCCCCCCTTAAAATATTTTATATCCTAGAACCGCGCCTACTGTACGTTTAGGTGCTCATTGACAACCCTACAGTCACCTACTTTCCACTCAAAATTCATCTCTTAATATTAGGCTTAACCATGTTGGAATTGCACTTAAACGCATCCATCCACCCACGCACTACATACACACATGCGCGCACGCAAACATGCACACATACACGCATACGCGCACACACATGTATACATATATACATGTACATGTGCATACACGCACGCACGCGCACACGCGCCCGCGCGCACACACATACCTACATACATGTATAGGTAAATAAACATAATATTCTAGTCTTTAAAAAGTACTTGTAACAAGGATTTGTAGTTCTCTTTTATGCACAACTACAAGTATTTCTATAAACTTAATAATTATCTATATTTGCAAAACATACTAGTTATCTTCCTTCCTTTACTGTCAACCCCCTCGCTAGGACGTAAACAGTCGTTATGTTATTTTGTATGTGATATATTTATTTTGGTTTCATGTATTATATTTTAAAGGTCGGCTTTGAAAGTGTTACTATATGTTTGTATTCCCGAATTTATAAAACAAATATTACTTGGCTTGACATGTAATGGCCACACAACACGCTTTTTTATTTACGAGACGACAACGCTATAATCTTCATTAGTACATAATTCCAGTTTCTATGTAAATCTATGTGACACAGAAGATTGGTTATTTAACACAACGATACAGAAAGCTTAAATCAAGCTTTTAGAAACATTGAATTTCTAAGGACGCCAAAATGGCGGGTGCTGGAGCAAAACCGTTTATTGACAAGAAACTTTTACAAAGGAAAGTTATTCTGTTTTCAAAAACATATTCCCCGGCATGTACAACTGCAAAGGAAATCTTAGGCAGTTATGGACTGAAATTTCCAAACTATGAAGTCGTAGAAATTGAAGCCAGACAGGATTGCAATCAAATTGAAAACTATTTCCAGATTTTGTGTTTAACGGACAGGCGAGAGGTAGGTTTTGCATAATTGAACTTAATGTAATTAGAACATGGCATAAAAGCAGTTTTGTTAAACGTGATGAAATTTTCAATACTCGTCAAGATATTGGTTCAAATTCAACAGTGCATAATGATAATAACGATGTATGCTAGCTAATAAAGGATCTATCATAATGTTTTATATGACACTGTCTTTAATCTTACTGTACATGTGAATACATGAAATAATAAAATTGTAAACACTTTAAAGATTATGCTACTTATTATTTTCTTACTTATAGTCCACATTGTTTGTGGGTGGGGGCATACAATGTACATTTATGCACCTACATTGTAGTTTTGTTGAATAAATAATAGGTTTAATCACGGATTTATATTACATGTAATATAAATCCGTGGTTTAATGTCTTAATCTTATGTTTAACTTTAATGATATTTTCAGGTTCCTCAACTTTTTATGGATGGGAAATATGTCGGAGGAGAAAAAGAAATTACCAGAATGCATGCAAATGGAGACCTAGGCAAAAAACTAGTGGTTGCTGGAGCCCTTAAATAATTTTCAAATTAGTAGCAATCTATTTTGAGAACAATTCCTGAACCAATTTTATGAAAATCTGGATTTATTTTAATAAACTGTAGATGTTAATGATAAATTGTAAACATTGGGTTATTATATGAATTGTGTGAATGAACATGCAGGTACATGCTTTGAATAGGAAGTAATTTAACATGACTTTGAATTTTTGTATTACAATACACCTATAATTTCTTGTTTATACACACACTTAATATTAATTTATTAATGCAATGTTGTTCTGTTTTTATATACAAAAAGAAGAAATCGTCTAAAATATCAAGTATCAACATAACATAAATTCTAATTTCAATATTTGTTTTTGAATCATGTTATATATACAGGAAAAATAATACTGTTGTGCTTTTTCTTTTCTTTGAAATTATATTGTACATACATGAAACATATATTAAGTTTTATATAAATTTATTTTTACACTTTACCAATGTAACTTTTATATATCGCTATTTGAGTTTTCATAGTTTATCTCATTTTTAGATACTTTTATTTCTTGGTTACCTTATATACACTTTATATTGTTAATGCAATAGATGTGTTTTTGAATAAAGTTTCATAATTTTTTTAAATTTTGTAGTTGTATGTAAATTGAAAAATGTGCAGTCTGATCCGGCTTTGAACCCTGAGCCCTATCATACATTTTAAGGTGTAATTAAGTTGCCCCAGGTTATGCATGAAAATATGCATGCCATTAAAGGACATAATCACATTGATGTTTGATTTGATAAAACAATTTGTGAATTTACAAAATTCATGAATAAGGTTTCTCATGTAAGTTTTTGTCTCCACAATCACTGAAGTTATTAGCTTATACTTTCTTGTATTCATTTATGGCCATGATTCACATCTTTAGCATGGACTTGTAACTTTGAGCACACACAGTGCTGTTAATTAAGAATGACCCACATGAAAGGTGACTTGCCTGTCAGTAACGAGCTATCACCAAAATTGATTCTTAACACTAGAGCTCTTGGATTTAATTGAATTTTCATCAAACTTTGTAAAAATGTTTTGTAATAATTATTTTGAAAGGGTTTGAACTTGGATCACTAGGCATCTGGGGTCAAAAACTTGATCACCATGTCTATGAAAAAAACTTCGTATACTTAGCTAGTTGTTAAAGACTTAGCCTTTGATAGACTTAACCAATGACAGACTTCGTTTGTGATAGATTAATATCTTGACAGACTAAGCCCATGACAGATTTAGCCTATGATATACTTTAACTTTGATAGATTAAACCCATGATATATTTAGACCTTGATATACTAAGCACATGGTAGATTTATCTTTAGACAGATAAATTTAACTCATTATATATTTATACATTGTAATGATAGACTTAGCCTTTGATAGACTTAGCCTGTGCATGACAGATTTAACCCATGACTGATGATTTATTAAGCATACGATATACTTATTCTATGATAGATTGAGTCAGTGGTACTTGGTCTGTGATAGGTTCCACCTGTGACCTACTTAGCTAGTGATAGACTAACCCCATGACAGACTTAGCCTATGATAGAATTTAGCATGATAGATTTGGGCCGTGATAGACTTAGCCCATGATAGATTTATACCCTGATAGATTTAGTTAGCCCTTGATAGCTTTCGTTTGTCATAGACTTAGAACATGATACACTTAGCCGGTTAATGACTAAGTCTTTAAAAGACAATCCGTGGTTCACCGTTGATAGATTTAGCCCAAGATATTTAGACCTTGGTGAATTAGATCAAAGACTTAAATAACCTCGATAGATTTTGCGCATGATAATATTAACCTATAAATTAACACTTGATAGGCAAAACACGTGATAGATAGATTTAGCCCGTGCTACACGTTGTCTTTGATAGATTTAACTTTCGGTGATAATCTTGTCAGATCGTCGCATAGCTTATATCCAGACTGATGTAACTAGCAGTTTTGAGAAAAATATTGATATAATTTGTATTTGATACGAACGAAGTACACTGCATTATAGTTTCCGGTTTTATATTTAAAATAGTTTTGATTGGATTTTTTTACCGTTCTCATAAATAACTGAACTTTTAGATTCATAGATTATGAAAACATCCTCAAACACAACAAACATCTACATAGTGTGTTATATTTGTTCATTTATAGCCGCCATCGGAAGCTCGTTTGTGCCACTCAATCCAGAGAGCTGTTAGTATTTTTATTTTTCGGAGAATAAAGCAACGGGTACAGAAACTTTTAATTGTAGGAGAAAAAGACGGTTAATTAACGTGCAGTATTGTAACGGAAACTAGTTTTTTAAGTTTCATTCCAAAAAGAATTAAATGTTTATATTTTTAGGATCGAACTAGCAACCTCTGAATTTGTAGTGGGACAATAATTGTTACTAGTGCGCCACACTAACATCCGCAAGCAAAACAAAAGTTTTTAGTTATTGGCAACTGAAAAGGGACAAAACCCTCGCTAATATATAAAGTCAAACTCCTCACAGTGATTTGACTTCGTAAAAGTTTGCGTAGCGAAGCAAAGGGGGACCACTGCGTATGAGTTTGATTCAAGTTGTGTCTGGCGGGTTATTCCAGATTGGAATTTAGTATTAACATATCTTAAATGAACTTATCCATCTTTCTACCTGGAAAAAAGGTAACAAAAACACAAAATTTGTGCTGAGTGAATAGCAAACAGCGCAGACCATGATCAGACGATACCGTCTGCACTGGTCACCGTCGCAGGCACAAGTATCGGACCTGAGAAGAAAAAATATGACCAGATTGATAAAAAAAACCTGTGTTCATCTTAAAAGTGTCAAAAAGAAAAAAAAATGTAAATAACGACCACCTTTGAAAATTATACTATAAGTTAAGAGAAGGTCGGAAACTCCAGATTCGAGCCTACGAGCAAGGGATTCATTTCCCGGGCCGTTGTGAAAACAATTGGCCAGACAATTAAAAAAAACTTTTATCACTATTTCACGTTTATATTAAGCTTCAAAATGAGACCAACCCCAAGTCTCTAGCCCTTCCCGTTCATGAAATATCTATCAGGAAACGAGCGAATTCGTGCTAAAAATCCTTGGTAGACAGAATTGCGGCACAACAATTCGGTACGTAAACATAGACTAATACATGTATGTCAGCTGAGTACGGGTCAAAATCACTTGAATTTACTAAATAATATTACTAAATACATTAAGTTGGACCACTCACAACCGTCAGTAGCATCTGATACACGCAAAATTCGAATTTCAAACCTTTCCACGGTCTTTACATTCCTTTCTACGCCATTGTCAATCAGCTGTTCGATATTTTGTAAATAGTCTTCTGATTGGCCAATAGCAACGAAAACCGCAACGTTTCACACAAGGATGCCCCATGGCGTAGAAAGCGATTGAAAGACCGTGTAAATGTTTGAAACTCGAATCTCGTGTGTATTTAATGTATTTAGAAATATTACATTTTTTTTTGTTTTTTTGACACTTTTAAGATGAACACAGGTTTTTTTTATCAATCTGGTCATATTTTTTCTTCCCAGGTCCGATACTCGTGCCTGTGGTCACCATGTGTAAAAGCAGGATGTTGTATCAACTTTTACTTGTGATTCGATAGCATATAAAATACATCAACATTGAACAATTCGTTGGTTCTTGATCCTTACCTGATTACATATTTCCACCGCTGATATGGAAACCGTGAGACATATTGTCTGTTAAAAAGGGGGACACTGATACATTGTTTTCCTACTTAATTGACAAGTCACATTTAAAAACTCAGTTTTAACTCAACTACTTGTATTTGTAACATTAGTACGTTTATATGATTGCTGGATACCTGACGCCACCATCTGTTATAATAAAATACCCTAAATTCGGCATTAAAATCCAATATAGTGCAAGGCTAGTCAGCACAACCGTACAGTGTAACCAGTAGGTTCTTTTTTCCACACTGAAATCCCAAGAACTAAGAATGGACTGTTCTAAATGCAAAGTAACTAACTTATTACCATAATTTAAATAACATTTATCTACGAAGCATCTACATGCCCTATCAACTATAATCTAGAGAAACATGTGAGTGTATAAACAGCACTTTATAAATATAACATACAACATCTGAATCAGCGGAAATACTATATATATATATCGGAGGCCCTCTGACCAGACATGACCTAGTCCAAATACCAATGGTGACAAATTCATATGTGCAAAATCCATTTCAGATTATTTGCAAATAGTTTAATAATAATTGATCGGTATTAACCGTAAGACCATCTTCAATATTATATATCAATTGCATGTAATCAGTACAAATGAATTAAGAAAATGCTAGGACTTGAGGCAGAATCAACCAATGTAGATTGTAGTTTTAATGACACCAACTGTGACATTTATACTAGTAATCTAGAATCGACAGTGCTACCAGCTAAACCTTTCAAATGGCAAAGTACAAAGATAGTAATTGAATAGACATGGTGATAAAATATGACAACACAGTGGTCTTTGTCTATGATTCTGAGACTTTATTTTACCCCAGCTTTTACAACAAAAACAAGCAAATGATTTATATCAAGTTGCAAATACTGCATATATATTGTGCAATAAATAATAAATTTCTACAATAAATAGATACCCGGTTTTAATAATAAAAACCACATCACAATTATTATGTCAATTCAAAGTTCATAAATTCATGAAGAAATTTACAGAAAGAGAATTTTATGGTTTTGTTTTCTACTTCAATATACAAAGTTATATTGTTTTCGTCTGACAAAACATTGTCGTTTTTCTGTGTGAAAGAATAAACATTACAAAAGTTCAAGGACAAGACATGTATAACATAAAATTCTATGCCAGTTTGATAACTTTCAAACAGCATGCCAAGGAAAATACAATAAAGTTAGTTATAAACTGTTATCATGAATTATTTGAAACTATTTCTGTTAAATCAAACATGTCAACAATATATGAAGCTGTTTCCCTTAGTTTCCAGTATGCACATTATACGTACAAAAAGCTGTTTTTACATGAAAAATTTCTTTAACACAAAGTGTAAAATGAGTTAAAACACATATTTTCAGATATAAACACAAATACGAATCAAGCTCAATACATGAAAATAAATACAAAACATAAATCACAGCAAAAAGCACCTGTACCTTCATCTTATGGTAAAATAATTGCTCTAAACAATTAAACAATGTCAAAAAGAACATAAAAAACATGTTAACAAGGAGATAGAAATATTTTATCTCAGAGATGACCTCTTGTGTTATTTTTTACACGATCCCTTTAACGGCCTTTTATTTAGCTAGGAAATTTGTATACATGTTTATTGAATGTATTTGTGCAAATATTGTAAATGATTCAAATATCAGTACTTAGCGTTCAAAATGAGGCCATATTGAATATATGATTTTGTAGTATATTCCTGTAAAACTGAAAATAAAGAATTAATTAGAATATTAAACATGTAAACATCAATGTTTTCAATAGTCTTTAAGGCACTCTCTATAAATGTACGTACACGTATATAAGTCAGGTGGCATTTTGCTAAAACTGTTCTAATTAGTATCATCTGAGATCATTTATAAAATATAATATTATATCAAATAAGAAACAAATACAAACACTAACATACAAATGATTACATTGTGAGGTCTTCAACTAATTAAAGCTGTATGTGAATTAAAAAAATAATATTTTTATCATTAACTGAACATCTTCCATAAAAAAAACCAACATAACATGTACTTTTTAAAAAGAAAAATCTTAAAGCGACGTTTCAAACGGCAGACGATTTAAAAGGTGGTCTGGTAAAAAGAATAAATAGTTGTGCAAGATATATAATTTAAAATATAATTTGTGCAAAAACATAATGTGTTAAACATGTGATGAAATATTTCATAATAATTTATAAACTCCAAGTACCTTTGGCAACTTAATGAAACAATATACACTTAAAGCTAGTGAGTCCACAAAGCCAATTTAATTATTTCCTTTAATCGTAAAAACGTAAAAAATAAAACGCTAGTTACTATCAACAATGAAATGCAACTGAATAATACAATATGCGCACACCTTTTCAATCTTATATGACACATATAACACTAGTGAGCATTTAATCTATGACTTGTCACAATAACGTTAATACTGCGTTTCTGAATTATTAAGGCACATCACATTAATCATCAGAGTTGTTTACGTTTACTTCATCACTTTTTACTACATGTATATTGGTTTCAACGATCATGTCAGATTCGTCTGCTGCATTAGATTCAGCGTCCGAGTGAATATATTCCCCATCAAAGTCACCCTCGTTATATTCTAGAACAGTTGAAAGGGGAATCGTCTGCTCATTCTGAGCTGAAAACGAGGCATAACCTCGTAGTCTTTTCTTAATCAACGGGTATTTTGGTTTTCCGGGACAGTTTGGTGCAGTAATCGAGATCGTATGGTTAGCTGTAGGTGATTTGAGTAGATATATGTCCGTACGATATCCGTCCGCTGGTGGTTTTGGTGAGCGCATGGCAACAGTACGACGTGCCTGATGATCTTTATTTTGATTTAAACAAATAAGGAACGAAAAATAATTGTTTCTCTTTGAGACAATTCCTACAATTAAAAGGATGATTAATCCAACTATAGCTACACAAGAAATTAAGATTATATAAACACGTGGAACAGAACAGTCGTCTGCTTTTGTAGTCACATACACACATGCAGGGACAATGTCATTTGAATAACTGACTAGATCAAAGTCACACATGTATGTGTGATCAGTTTTGGCACAAAACGTGTATTCTGTTCTGCTGTCCAGACCTGAGATTGTAAAAACTGATTTGGTAAGATTAGGGACAATATTGCACTCACTTCTTTGACTATCGGACCAATAATTAACGTTTAATTGCGCTTGCGTATATCGATAGTAAGTTCCTTTAGTGACTGTTTTATCATAATCACCAGATGTGAGATCAATCTGAGAAGGTTCTAGATTATCTTTTAAATTTCTAACGTTTGTAATTTTCGGGAGATTTTCTAAACCGGTTGTTAAATATTCCCACTTTAATGTTGCTGACGTCATAGTTACAGAAACGAGAATCAGACGAACACGTATATGACAACGCTCACCGATCCATCCTTGCAAGCATGCGCAATAGAAGGTCGAAACATTTGATTCAATATGTGTTATAACGCGGCACGTGCTATTGTTTAAACATCTGTCACACAATACTGTTGTTGCTTCTGTAAAAGAAAATACAAAAATATCACCATAGCAACTTTCATAGTTATTCTGTAGCATATTTTTCGTGAAATAACACCTTTGATAATAATCCGCCAAATACAAGTTTATTGTATATGGTTATTTATTGTTAAAAAGATCAAATTACTGCAGTGTAAGTGCGAGAAAAATGTATACATGTATATCCCTCAGACATGAAAACACGAACACGTCGGTAAAAGAAATCAAGTAGTTTCATAAACAAAGAAAAACTAGTTTTTAACTAAGCCTATCATAGGCTTATAAGCTGTCTGTTAAAATTGATCCTCATTGATTTATTTCGCATTAAATATTACCTAGAATTCTAAACAATAGTAAATCTTACCTATCCAGAAAATGGTTCCGAAAATGACTGCAAGTGACAGATATACTTGCACGAGAAATCCGTGCTTCGAGAATAAATATTGAGGATGACAATACATTTCTGCACATGTTGGTTGTACTGATCAGGGTGACTTGCTGGATCTAAAATCTGGAAATATAAACAAATTAAGAAATTCACAAAGTTTATTTAAATTTTAAAATTTTTTGTTTGTTTCAATGTTATTGATTTCGTCAGAATTTGTTACAAAGTGTAGTATGATGACAATATTCTACAATAGTTTGATAAAACATTATATAATAGTATAGTCTATATTTTGCTCTAATACAATGTATTTTCAAAACAAAAGAATCTATTTACATCATGTTTTTAAACTACGACTGCAAATGTGGTAAAATAAAACTCTGAATTCAAAACTTATAAAAAAAAAACATCTAAATGTCATATTAGAAACCTATATATTTGCAGCGCAGCCTCTAAGATAGTTTTTCTATGAACTAGAATAAAAGCAAAAATATTAAATGTTTACCTCGGAACTATATCCATTAATTAAACATATTAGCAATACTATAGTATAATACAATAATATTTGGGCGATACGTTTTGTTATAGCATCGACTTGTGTTTGCTAGATGTTTCATAAAGATATGAAACATGCAAGATTTGTTTGATATTGATTAAAGTGTAAAGCAAACATCGTCTATAACATCATATTGATCAATCATAAACGACCACATGCTTCATTATTTCAAAGAAACAAATGTCACCTTGGCATTAACCGTCAAGTATTTCAGCTTAGAAATGCATTGAGGATGCTTACGATGTAATATTGTATATGTGTTTTCCGGAGAAAGCGAACTTTGCAAAAAATGACTGCTTCCGGTATTGAAGGAAGAAAATGAAGCTTTTTCAATGTGAGATTTTCATTGTAGGAGAGGGTTTAAATGAATTGTTTGTCAACAACAAACTAACAAATTATTCTTTCTTTCAATAATTAATTATTCTTTATATGGAGCCTTAGAAACACAACCGATATGTAAATAGGATAAACTTCATAAAAACTTATTGATTTGTCTGTCCTACTTCAGAGAAACAGAATTATATATGTTCAACGAATTACACTCTTATTTTCTTCTGAAAACCTACGTTTTGAATTGTTTTACTAAAACATGTATATTAATTTGGATGCTTATCACGCAAGAAAGCAACGTTGATTTGTCTCCCATACATTGATCACTACAGATTTACGCAAATGATGGTTAAACTATATGGCCAGCGAGTATCACTTCGGAAACTTAAACAGAACGCCTTAAAAACTTTGAAAAAAAATAATAATAACATGTTTGAGGCTTATAGAACCTTTAAAAATCGGTTATTGTATCGGCTGACATAACTTAATACATTTGTTTTACACTACCCTGCAAATAAAATTGGTAAAATTCTCTTTCAATAAAATTGATCAGCCTGTATAATTTAAAATGCCTAATTTAACATCGGGTTGTAAACGAAGCCAAGTTCTTTTATATTTGTATGATAATTGCGGTCACGGACTGGTCAGTTTTAATAGATGTTAAACGATCCTAGTCGATCTTCTCATCTCAAATAAAGCTAGCATACAGTGAAATATAATACAAATATTTCAAATATGAAAACTGGTGAGGAACACATTTATCATATTAATGGGGACACAACGAACGTGACTGTTTAATCAAATCAAAGAACAATATAATGCAATACATCAAGTAACTGAACAATATAATGCCGTTTTTCAACAGTGTTGATATTAAAGTACAGCAATACATTTAGCAGTGAAATTATATTATCAAAAATAATGAGTTTTTCTAAAAACTGTTATTCTGAGTGTATGAATAAATGTATGAGTATTATCCACGAGTAAATGAATTTTCAGCAAAAGCAAACAAAAAAATAAGTTAGATGCATTCAAATTAACAATGACATATTATTCCACCTTAACGATCAGAGATTTTCAGATAATTTAAAGGTTTTTTTCTTTTGATTTCAGCCACGTTTCGTTTTATTTATCTACAACGATCAATTATTGTCTAATTTGACATATACATGTCTCATTCAAAACGTTTAAGACATAACATAACATAATTATGCAAGCCTGTCGAACATACATTGTAGACCATATACATCGTATATACAAGTATATATAAAAGGGAGATGTTATCTGACCATTATTGACGACATTCCACCAATATATTACAATAATCGTAAAACATGTCTAGAAACACGTTTCACGTTATCTGGTAATATTGCTAAAAACTGCATTTGATCTCATTAAATTTAAACAGAAATTACAATGGTAATTAAAACTGAAGTATCATATGGACTAATTTTATATGAAATGAAATGTAAATGATTTTTCACAATTAAATTATTGAGAATATAAATGAAATTAAGAAGAAAAAATATCACATAAGTTTACCTGTGTTATTTCCTTGTTTACATGTCTCCTATACTGGTTCCCCGCACATTATCAGTTGTATACTATCCTGCATATTTTACCTGGCTTTAAGCGTAGAACCAGTTGACAAGTACGAATGAGTGTACGAAACTCAAATTTTACATAACAGTTTTTCGACCCGGGTTTGACGAAATTATTCATGAGAGCTTTAATATATGTGTATGTGTTAAATATTTTTTATGTAAGACCAAGGCTTTTATTTTTCTTGTAAGATTTTTTTAAACATTTAATTAAGTAAAATCTCAAATTCCAAAAGACTTTTATATGACTTTGTGAAAGCCTTTAAATTTTATCGTGTACATCACGCATATGCAAATATGATTGCATCCAAATCAGTTAAGATGACGATCCATTAAGAAATAGAGGATATTTTGTTTAGTTCAGTGTAAGATCGGAATATATTTCACCGAGTGAGCACCAAAAGGTATATTTCACGAGTGGCGCAGCCACGAGTGAAATATGAACTTTTGGTGTTCACAAGGTGAAATATATTTCGAGCTTACACTAACCTAAAAAAACTTCTTTTAATTATATAGAGGATATTTGTTTGTTTGTGTGTAAGATGAAATTTTATTTCATCGAGTGGGCTTTAAAAACAGTATTCTCACGAGTGGCGTAGCTATACCTGCCGTGTGTAGTATACACATTTTTAGTTGTTTTTTTTACTTAGAATAATGCCATAAATATCTGCATAAAAGAAATACGTTTTTTTTCTAAATAGCACATGCATGAAATCAATGCTAAAACGGTTAAAAACTTGCTTAGAATATCAACATAATATTTTCTTCTGGAACATTTTTATATACTGTTTACGTACAATATACATTTTGTACATGCGTGTTAAATAACAGACAGGGTCTTTCAAATAGAACTATTTTGAAAGACCATGTCTATTAGAAATGTTACAACAGAATTCGAGAATCAAACATACGATTATGGAAACACTTAATGATAATATTTAACATGAGTACTAGAAGTCACATTCGAAACAGGGCAGATAAATGTGACTCTAGCAGCCAATTGTTTAATATGTATAGATAGTCTCCCGTTAGTTCAAAAATTGACAAGTGACTTCAAATTCACATTGAATACGGACGCATGCACAAAACAAAACGGCAAAAACACACACGCGCACACAAACTTCAATGATTTGTTGTATTTATTGTTGTTGTTTTCCTAAAAGAATTATTTTCTAGAATAATTTCACAATTTATGAATACTTATTTTGTATAGTTTTAATTCTAATCGTTCCAGGTCTTATAATGTTACATTTTAAACTAATTGCTGAGCTCAAATACTGTACATAACTTATTTTTTATGAAATTTTTTTTTGTAGACGCTTTACATGAGCTGTGGTGAACATTAACTTTCTGCCAATAATCTAAGTAGAATAAAATAGGCGGCAAAGTTTTAAGATAATCCTTATAAATATTTATATAGAACTATCAAACATTCAGTGTTCTCATTTACCCTCGTATGTATGATTCACTTGATCAAGATTAAACGATATATTATAGCAAAAAAGGCAATATACACTCTCATTATATTTGCCGTCTACCCGGTTTGATATTTGCTGTTATCTCTACAATTGGTTGTTTACAATAGGGGTAATAAATTGAAACTATTAGAAAATGTAATATAGCAATTCATATAAAAAGGTCAATGCATTGTATATCGTGATAAAGTTAATCTTCAAAGCGGACAATATTGTAATATGGATTAGGATTATATCATTTCACCACTGTTACTGGCATTGTTCCTGATTTATTGAATTTGTAACTGTGTAAAATAATCGAATTCCAACAAAATGGATACGCAGTCAGAAAAAAAGATTTGAGTTGATTCAAAAATGTGTGATTAATAATTTAAAATTACTATGGATATAAGAGTTCGAGAACGCGCTTTACTTTCGTTTTCTAAAAGAATTGTTTAATAAAAAACATTCGTTGTGAAGTTAACATACAGAGGAATAAGTGTGACATATACAAGATCATTGTAAACCCGTCTATAGATATCAATTTGTACCGGTAAAATCATCACAGGTTTTGAATTTTTTATAAGCAAGTATTGGCATTTGATTAGTGCGAACAAAACTGGTCATAAAATATGATCTAACAAAAAATTAACCCTACGACATGTATAAATGTATTGTGGATTATTGCGGTGACTATTACATGTGATTTAAAGTAAATTATCAAAATTAATTTCCACGTTTTGAAAGGTGGCGTAGTTACTTACTGATAAATAGGAAAAATTGTTATCGGAAATTTGATACGAGTATTTTCATACTAAATTATGTGTCGCTTTTCCGTTTTTGGAACAATTTTGAATAGAATAGTTTTCGTTTGAGATAAAGTATCGATAATACGCCGAGATCTTTAAATGTTGATGTAGATTTTTCAATAGAATAGGTAAATATTCTATAAAGAAGTGTATATAACAAAAGTGTATGTGCCAAACAACGAACACGAAGGTTTGAAAGAAGCATTAGTTTGTCTAATTTAAAGTGAAATCTATAATGTTAAGTGCTTGTTTAAATCTAAATATATAGACTGATAGAAATAATTGGAATTATGATTCCCGATATTAGGGATTTAAAATAATTGATCATTTTTATAGAGAAAATGTGAATTTAATTTAACAGCTCTCAATATTGATGTATTTTAAGATACGTGTGTAAACAAAGGATATAGTATAATTATTTGTAATCATGGCGTTCAATGTGACATACGGTAGTCTACAAGGCAAAAATATAAAACATTTGTACACGACGCGCGAGAAAACTATGCACAAAAATGTCCCACGACAGAAGTTCTATAGACCGGAGTTCTTAGAATTAGAAATACAAGCTAGAGAAAGACATAGACAAAGGAAAGACAAAAAACCGAAAGTTAATATGGAGTTTGTGCCCGAATTCGATATAGAAGTTCCTCGTGCACCAGCATTTAGGTATCTATATTTCATCACTATAACAACAGCAAGTAGTTCTAAATTATCGAGAATATTGATCTTATAAGCTTTACTGTGAGTTAATATAGAAAATACATAGCACGAAATAATCAGTCCGAATTTTAGATTCAGTAAGTAAAACATTTTCAACTATTTGATATCATGTCTGTTTGTTTATTTGTTTGATTGTTTCAATACTGTTGAAATATTATATATTACAGAAAAGCGAACAAAGCGTACGTTGATGAAATCGTTTCTAGATTGACACAAAGACCAAAGATAAAGTCAGACCCTAGAGGTTGTGGTCACTATCAGCGCGGCTTTCACGAGTATGAATGGGAAGAAGAGGAACTAGAATCACCACGTGAGCCAGTAACTCGCCGAAAAATGAACAGTATTCTAGACAGATTGATGCAGCCATGTGGTTGTGGACGCAGACATCAGTCCCCGGATTTACGAGAAGAAGATTATCTACCGAACTTTAAGTTTTGATGAAGAGACACAGTATTTACTGCTTAATATTCCATCCGATGTTTCCATTCGTAGAATAATTAAACTTTAATGTCATAGCACGGGCGCGTGATAAGACAAAAGACGACTATATTTCCATGGTAACCAGCCAATCGCAACTACTCGGCCCTTTCCGTCAGTCTTCGGATAAGGACCTCGAACACAATAGTATGAATACACAGAACGGATGCGGTATTCCGGTCTATCCTACGCTAAGAAACTAAACATGTAAACAAATAGTAATTTAATGCTGAGAGTTGTTGACAAGTTTATTTACATTATATGTAGTAAAAGTCCACCTAAAATAAGTGAATTCATAGGTACATAAGCAAACAATACATTATTTATATATTTACTAATATGGCTGTAGAAACCGAAAGTACAAAAAACCAACCTGTTGACATTTAGTCGGATTTGTTTAAAATTGAACATCAGTGGGCATATTTGAATAACAAATTGTTGTCAGACATATTTTCAAGCATAAGAGTACCGGAACAGACATAAGATGTCAAATATATACATTCGTTTTACATTATCTCTGTTTCTGTTTACATCTGTAAACCACGTGGTAGAACTACTTTCAATCCGGATTGTTTCCGAGGTTATTATAGATAATAGCCGAGGCAGTTCCGAATGGGTAACCAGCGTCTGGTTCGCTTTCCGGTGTATCGTTGACCATGCTGGCGTTAAATTAACTTTGTCGTGCTTAAAAAGGATATGTGCGTGCAATCTTTATTTTGTTTTCATGGTGAAAACGTAGATGGAATCTAGTCTTTCCAAAGTATTGATTCAGATTGTTTATATATCTTATTTATGTCATGTTATTTTTCTGTCTTAGTTTCTTTAGCATGCTTAAAAACAAAAATAAAGAAACCAAAAAATAAACTTTGTTTTACTGACAGAAATTAAGTGTTTATAGATGGCAATTTTGCTCGGATTGCTTCACTTGATTATTCAACTCATGCTAAAAAAAAACGAAGTTGTCTCCCTTCCTTCACATTGTTTTGACTGCACCCTCGACATTACTGATATAAAGAACGTGTCAAAATATATCTTACATACTTATGGTTATAAAATAGTAATAGTATAAGAAAGTGTGGGGACAGAAGTCAGAAATATTTGCTTTGTAATTTAAATTTCGGAAGAAAAATAAAGTTTATTTTTTATTATTTTCATTTTCAAACTTCGACAGTCACTTTCAGTGAAAGCTGCTCTGTGTTTCAACAAAAGAGTGCTTTAATTAGTATTCAATCTTTAACGTAGATTTTTAAAGTATTTGATACACCGTTAAACAATCTGATCCTCATCTTTAAGTTCTAATTACTTACTGATATATTGCTTTGTAAGATGTTTCATTGAATTTAATTTCATTGTTCAATATTATCTGGTATGTAAGGGGGAAAACAAATTAGATCAAATTATGTTACTCTTTTTTGTCCGAAGAATGGGCATAATCGCCCAAGACCGAGTGGTTAAGGACGTTGACTTAAATACTCTTGCATCTCCCCGCGGTGGGTTCGAATTCCAACAGGGACTATGAATTCCTTCATGAAAGTTTACGGGACGTCGGTGGTTTTACTCAGGTGCCCGTTCGTGCCCGTAATATGCACAGAAGGGCAATTTAAGTCTTACTGCACCAGTAAAGCTGGAAAGTCGCCATATGGCGTATTCTGTGTTGATGCGACGTAAAACTCAACCCCCAAAAGGACCTCTTGCTTTAAGATCAACAATTTTAAATGATATGAGCCGCGTCATGACAAAACCAACATAATGGGTTTGCGACCAACATGGATCCAGACCAGCCTGCGCATCCGCGCAGTCTGATCAGGCATGCTGTTCGGTTCGCTATCAGTTTCTCTACTTGAAATAGAGTTGGTAAGCGAACAGCATGGATCCTGATCAGACTGCGCGGATGCGCAGGCTGGTCTGGATCCATGCTGGTCGCAAACGCACTATGTTGGTTTTGTCGTGACGCGCCTCAATTGTATAACGTTATTTATGAGGTAGATTGTGAAGACGACATTGAGTATATATATAGTAAATAGTTTTTGATTTTTATAAGGATAAGAATGTTTTTACTTACCTATATGTATATGTTTGTTTTGATCCTATAAGCATTGACAGTGTCAATGTTTATAGTAAAAAAAGAAATAAAATAAACTTAATTTATTAAAGATTTAATGTTTAGGTGGGTCACTAGTTATGTAGTTCATAAAATAATTAATTAATTATATAGTTCATGAAAGAAGTTTAAAAGACAGTTTATAAAACAAGTTTATGTTACAGAATTAATCTGTTGATATATAGCGGTACACCATGACTTGTTGCCTTGATGCAAAACGGTTAGCTCCGCCCACATTTGATACTGAAATATAACAGTTTTATACCAACCCCAAGTGTTATGATTTAATGATATTAATATGCAATTTAAAATCTAAAATCGGTATTTTAATCACGACTGTATAAAGTATTAACATTAAACATACAGCGAATGAGTTCTGCATCAGATTGTATAGGAATTATTATAAAAGTTGTAAGGTCATTTGTACATCAAGTAGTAAACATTCAAATATTAATCGTTCTTACTCTAATAGAAGATTACTATTCATATAGATATGGAAATTTCAATACTGTTTATACAGTTAATGGTGAAGACGTTTTAATTGAAAAACCAGGGTTGAATTGGTCCGTAAATACAGCTAGTTGCTGAATGTACAAACTTCTGAATGCATTGCGATATCCAGACATGATTTTAAAGATAAAGTAAACATACTGTCCTTACAAAGTTCAAAACTTTCACTCAGAACAAATAGATTTGATCTAAGAGGTCTATCACTTTTGATAATCTTTTAAAGACTTCAGGACGTATTTTATAGTTTGATTACGATTATGTGGCTTTAATTTTTCTTCAGTAACATTTGCTACTCTAACTGTTGTGATGTTTTGGATATAAGATGAAAGATTCTTGAATTATTTATTTTCTTTTCTGCATTTATCATTAACAATACAATAAAAAATAAAATGAAGAACTTGATGTACATGTAGTTATATCTATTAACTTTGTTGTATAAAGAGTGTTTAAGATTTATTTGTATATTTTTTAAATGAAAAATCATTAAATGCCTCTCAAACTACAAACTTTCAATTGTAAATTATCAAGTGATGTCACGAAAGGACAGAACTTCGGCTTTACGTGAATAGAGAAGGATTAAGGGCACTCTAGATCTTTGAGTGGGGGCATAAAACGTCTTGAAATTTCATAATTGTTTGATTTGCAAATTTATCGTGAAAGTATTTTATGCAATAAATTTAAAAGTGTATTTGACAAATTTATTTCAGAAAAGTGAAAAAGTGGGATAAAAAGGATCAATATGTAATAAATGAGTTAATTGGTGGTGTATTGTAACATTTACTATTTAATCATGTCTTTTAACATAACGTATGGCTATCTCCAGGATAAAAACATTAATCACTTATACACGACTCGCGAGAAAACCATGCACAAAAACACGCCTAGACAAAAGTTATATAGACCAGAGCTACTGGCATTAGAAATTGAGGCAAGCGATCGTTTTAAAAAACGTAGGGAAAGGAAAAGAAACCCTAATATGGAGTTTGTGCCAGAATTTGATATCGACGTACCACGGGCTCCTGCATTCAGGTGAGTTGATTGTCTTTGACCTTTGCGAGAATTCCATCAATTTTACCTTAAATAATGTTGATTGTATTGTGATAACAATTCATCATAACTTTAATGAGGCAATATACTATACATCATGTACGAGTTTAGCTTTTGTTAATTCAATTTCAAATGGTACATGAGTCACGTGACGTATGACTATCATCAATATTCCAACGAATAGATGCATATAATTAAATAACTTGGTGGTTATATGGAATATAATTGCAATTAAAAAACAATATTTAAACTTTTTACGATGACGATGAAACGTGTAACAGTTTTCGTGTTTTTTATGTTTAAGGGTAGCTGACAAAAGTTATGTAGACGAGGTGGTCGCTAGATTAACTCAGACACCTGGGTCAAAATCCAATCCTCGAGGATGTGGTCATTACCGACGAGTTTTCACTGAGTATGAACAAGGTCTGCAAGACATCGAATCACCACGTGACCCAGTATCCCGGAAAACCATGCGTAAGATTCTGAAGAGGTTAACGAAACCTGCAGGAGCCTGTGGCAGACGACATCCTTCTCCTGACATACAAGAAGAGGACTATTACCCAAATTTTGTGGTTTAAATAAAGAATGTCATGACCATTTGATATAGCTGAAATTTTAATGACGTATAAACTGGTCATACTGCTCTTAAATGAAATTATAAACTATACATACAATATATAATAATTTATAAATACTTTGAGAGAAAATCTGAACAAAGATTTGTTTGACATATCTATGACATTCATAAAAGATGTATTTTCTGCTAGTTAAAATATATACTGATTTAAGATAATCCGTTATTGTATTATAAATAGGTCTTCTTAAAAAAACCCGCCACACCGGATAATTTATTTTACAAGTACAAATTCCACATGCACATGTTTCGAGGGACACTTTTAGCTGATCGAGTTCCATACTTAATATCTATCATTGAAATCGCCTTAAATATTGCACATATTCATGTAGCAGAAACTTTATGTTTTAAAATTAATAGATATGGTCATATGGATCGACGAAATGTGTTACTTGTAAATAAATATTTATTTTGTGAAATATATCCAGAATACATGATGGTAATTCCTAAATAATTATGACCAAGAGTTGGTAGATCTAATTCATTTTGTCTATCATCCTTACAACTGTAAGCAAAGTCAAGATAACGTTTATTTTTTAGCAGTATGTATATATGCCCCTTGGGAATTAATAGGGGTATGAAACTTTTTGGTCTCGGTACTATCTTTTAACCTACGCGACGAAGAAACATAAACCGTTTCTATTTATTTTTATTATTTACTTACATCACAAGGTGTTGTATGTATGTAGTTTATGTTAAATGAGTGTCCATAAATTAAAGTTTGAAGCACAAAAAGCAGATTTGGCTGTCGAGTAAGGACCCCGAACATATCACCATTTAAGTAGCTCCACCGAGGCTATTAAAGTATCCTAAAAATTAAATCGAATATTGATGTTTGTTCGTTGCCACGCTTTTCATTTTAGGGTCATTTTACACATCAAAAATAATTATTCTGAAGGAAAAAAAACGAAGCGAGGGAAAAAGTGATGTGAAAATTTACACACAAGTAATCGGCCCAGACCTACATCAAATGGTACACAAATCGTGGGGAAATATTTATAGTACCTCCATGTAAATTGGTCTGTCTGTGGTGAGTAATTAAGTAGGGTTTTCATCATCTACAGGTACATTTTCCCCACTGTTCTTAGTTGAAAAATGATACATTGTAATTACTTTAGCATATTTGCTTTATTATATAACCTTTAGAGTTAAGAAGTCACAAGGAGGGTTTCCGAGATTAGGGGGTCGAACGTATAGCGGTGCGATACTCCTTTAAGCGATGTGATATCATGCGATACGGACTAATGGCCGACGAAAGCGAAAACGAAAGTTGGTATGAGCATGTGTTTTCCCCAAATATATGTTGTCTATTGTAATTTCTTGAAGAATAGCATTGTGCATGCTAATCAGGCATGATCGTCAAAATAGAATACTAAATTTTATAGTATTCAGGAAGTTATCGCGGTATTTGTTGCTGCAAATTCAACCGCCAACCTGATATGCACATACAAACGAATAATGTATCAGTAGTTTTAAAACGAGATGTTCTATTAGTTTAAGTCCCAACATGTTTATTTTTTATAACAAAACGATATACAAGAGTAGTTCTCCATATCTATCCGACAATATATACAATATTTCCATTTTTCTTACTGAACGCCTAATATTTGGTTTGATAAACCAACTGTACGCACAATTTTGGTATGTTTTTCTGTAGCGACGTGGACTTCCTCATTAAAGTACATTATTCAATATTGATGAAATATCAAGTTTTGTGTGTGTATGTTAATTATATGTAAATCACAGTGTCAATTAAAACAACAGTGTCAATTAATGTAGTATACTCTGATATAAATAATTTAAATATTCTTTTCTTCACAAAGGTGAAATATTAAAATTAGATAAGTTATAGCACAGAAACTTGAAATTCTATCAAATAACCAATAGTAACGATAATATTCGTTTGGTTTATTCCATTCATTCAGTAAAGGTTTTATCATTTAATAATATGCTTTTTCTATTATTAATTATATACATATTATACATATTTATGTTGTCAGAAAAAAATAACTTTAATTAAAACAGCAACATATGAGAAGTGGATCTACTATTGTAATACATGCACTGGTCGGGAAAAACGCCTCCCATCCGTTCTTATGTTCATTCAATACCTTGAAAAGTTCATGTAATCAGAGACATAGATACAAGATAGTAAGATAGTTATCTACATCTCTGATGAAATAAATTGTGTTGTAGGTTTTTGTTTTTTTTTTTGTTTTTTTTTTTGGGGTTTTTTTTTTAATGGAACTTGAAATTCTATGAAAAAGATAATGGTTTGATTTCCTCTGTGGATTGAATGTTATATATTTTTTAGAAAAAAAAACATTGACAAAAGCCTTTTAGATTACCCCTTTTTATTTAATGTCATTTTAGGTCAAATATTAAAGCCATTGTAACACTTATTATACAGGCTTGAAAGTAGTCCTACTTTTGCCTACTTTCCTACTTTTTTTGCCATACTTCTACTGTTTTTACAAATATTCCTACTATTCCTACTTTTTGAATAAAAATAAACTGAAAATTGTATACATCAACATAGAAAAGTTGCAGAATGAAATGTACAACATGATATAAGGACTGATGGCATATACTGTTTTACTATTGTTAAGGTTCCTAAATAGTCCTTTAACATGATTCTATTAATCTCTTAGGCAAGCTGATGAATGTTACAAAAAATTTTACACAACATTTTGTATATTGTTAAACTAACTGGCAAAGTAAGGTAACATACCCCGTATCAACTTAAGTAAATGATTTTATTCGAGTTGTTCCCCTTGTCTGCACAATTTAATAATTATGTTATGTATAATGATAAAAACCTATATTGCAACTTCCCGTGATAGCTCAGTTGGTAGAGCGGAGGACTGTAGTGGTAGAGCTGTTATCCTTAGGTCACTGGTTCGAATCCGGTTCGCGGGACTCTTTTTTTTATTTTCATGCTGGACAATAACAATATCGATATTTGATATTAAAGGCGTGGCTTAATCTATCTTGTAGACTTGCTCACTACATCCTCCTAGAACTCATCAATTAAATCAATAAACTTAAATCATCAAAAATTTAAAGTTAAATGTGCAACATATGGTAATAAATTTTTTTTGGTATGAAATAAGCTATATAGCAAGTCTATTGTTATAAACTCTTCTCCCTTTTCAGCAAAAGTTAACCAATGCGATTTACTGGGCATCTCTTTGATAAATATTATCTTATTGTTTATTGTCATATCTTTTTCTATTTTTCGTAATGTCACATATCAAACAAATTACATTATAATCACAAAATTTGTTCAAACAACTAGCTAGCATTGTTATCAAGAGAATAATTTGTTTTTCCGTTCCACCGCACAAGAACCAATTATTAAGGTAATTTAATAAAAACCAAAAGTATAAATTTAACGAATAAAAGAATGTTCTCACATACGCTGTCATTTTCTCCTAAGATTAATAAATCCAGCAAGCGGATATAAATGATACACTGCTATGATAGCTAGCAGCATTATAATGGCCCAAACATTGGAGTCATTAACCCTTATAGCTGTAACGAGAAACGGTATCATTGATTAAACCATTTTCTTTTTTTTTAATTTTCATAACGTCTCGGCGGTCGGCGTTTCCTCTGTGGCCTATTTCTAGGTAAAGATGTATTATCTGCAGGTTTCGTCTGCACCGGCTCCTGATCTTCATGAACATATCTAAACTTGGAAACGTCCCGTGTGATTTCTTTTCGTCTATGTTTGGATGAGTATTCTGGGGGTAGGGTCAAACGCTGTTTCAAACAACACCCTGTATGATCTGGCTTCTAATTTCTGAGTCAAAGTCTGAAAATTCACAATTCTTAGCTTTCTGACGTAATCTTGTTGCAAACTGGTCGATAGATTCCCAATGCAACTGCTTCATATTACAAAATTCGAATATTTCGAATTGTGTGTTTTTTCTTGGCTTAAAGTATGTTGCTAATCCAATTTTTCTTTCATCGTAGTTTTCAATTCAATGTATCATAGATATAGTAAACGTCATCTCCTGCATAATGAAGCAAATGTGCTTTTTTTCTTTTTCTAGTGTTTATTCCCAGTCCAACAAATAAGTTTTCTAATTTATCTAAATACTTTTCCCATCGTACTCCCAGAGAATTTTCATCAGCAAAAACATCGAATTTGGTAAATTTTCCATTTTCAAATCTGCTTTTTTTCACAGAGTCAGTTTAGATTAATCCACAGTGTTTTTTTTTTATATCAGATCCTCGTCGCCAATGTAACATTTATATTTTCTATATACACAAACTAAACAAGACCCGAAGGATGGTTTATATATTTTATTGTATGTGTTGCTCATAAACTCCCAAACATCAAGTAAACAATGACGATATTTGATATTAAAGGCGTGGTTTAATCTATCTTGTAGACTTGCTTACTACACATTATAACTACATGTTTGTCTGCATTCATTTCTTAGCTTCCCTGATCCCTGATCGGAAAGGACTTCCACTGCCGATTATTTACGTATTCATCAAAATGGAAATACTTGAAACATTTCAATAATTATCATAAATGTTGTTTACAACAAATATATTAATATATACATATGTTTTAAAATTATGGTTTAAATGTGTTAATATATATGGTGTAAATAAGAGAAATAATAGAATTCTTCAAACCGTGTTCAATTGATTGCAAAGGACATTACATGACCAGGAAGGACAGACCGTGCGATTTTGATACGATCAAAAAATGATAAAAATGTTATCCCCGTCAGTTTTTGCTAAAAATATGTCATTTGTAATATCATATCATTCACTCCTGTCGTATAGTACGTATTAGCGTTTTGCTTCAAATGTCTCGTATACAGCTTTTAAAGCACCTGTTTTTAAATGACTGTAAATTATTAATAAATTAATATAACTTTCTATTAAATGCTATGTCATGAAAGAATGATTATGTAATATCTGCTACATTTGTATATGTCCTTGGGGGCCCGAGAACCCAGAGAGTAATACAGTGTATGTTTTATAATTATGTCGACTATTGTACACTTTACTTGGTATTTTAAGAGGCTAATACAGTGTAACATGATACATATATCTACATCCTCATAATTATATTGTATGAATCTATTCTTCATAAAATTAAAAATCAATTTCTGAAATTAATACTATGAAATTTATAGATGATAGTACATAAAATTTGTATGAAAACTGTTTCATCAATCTACATTAAAATCTTTGATAGTCCCATCTTTTCTTCATGTATTAATGATCAACATTATTTTTTGTCCAATCACATTGTAGTATTTTTCAAATTTCTGCTTAGTCTAACTTTGGTTAATGTGTACTAACTAAATAAAATTCACTTAATCTGTCGTCTAACCGCAGTCTAACAAATTTCAATAACGCATTATATGAGGGAGTAGTGAGAGGTATGGTTTACACTATGATTTATAAAATGTCAACTTAGCAAAACAATGCCAACATGAAAAAAATTAGTTTCTAAATGTGAGGATACAATCAATTAATTTATTACATAGATAATACATGTTGGGCACGCAGAGACAAATGATAACATAGTAACTTTTTTATATCCTTTTAAATCTAAGAAAAATGTCTGTTATAAATTGCTGAGTGTTTTAAACTTTATACTTTCCAAAACATTTTTTTTTTCACTTGATAGGAATGAACTGCATTAACAATCATTGATATTAAGAATACAATGATTACATTTTTGTGCTGGAAAACTCATTGTAAATGGACCCCCTCCACCTGTAAACCTAGATTGACACACAGAAAAACTGTTTTTCAAATGAGCAAATCAATAGGGATTTTAAATGTTAGTGAATAACTTAAAGCTGATAACGAATTTGTATAAATTATTAATCTAATGTATTTTCTCACATTTCCATTTATTTATAAAGGATGTACACATTTCATTAACTCCATTGTTTTTACCGAATTGGATCATTTTACTCCCAGCATGATAGTCTTACTGTAGATAAAGGTATAAATTCTGTGACATTTCAGTAAAAAATGTGCCTGATTATTTGTTGATAGGGCCATTTATTTAGCTTATCTAATGTGATATGTTAGAAACTTGACAAGGTGTAGACAGCTTGTAGAGCGAAAGGGCGGAGCAATCGGTGATTTAGTGAAATGCCTTGTTTTTGGTTGAAAAAATAATGTTGATCATTAAATAGGTTAATGTTTAATAATATGCATTAACAAAAATAATTGGTCGCCTGTCTGCGGCAGGCTTGACCATTTATTTTTGTTAATACATATTATTAAACACTAACCTATACTTAAAATCTAATCATCTTGAAATAATAAAACATTAAAATGTCATTTCGTTTATGTCATCAATTCTAAAAGTTCTCATGCTCTAAACAAAATGTTATCAAGTAGGTCTGTTATTAATGTGAAAAGTTATCAAAGCAAAACAAAGTTATATGATATCCAAAGTGTAATTATCACTGGGTGACAAGTCTGTAATGTCTCTGGCTGTCAAATTATAAGTTAATTGGTATTTCCCATTTGGTCTGCTTTTAATATAATTTCCATTATGTTCTGATTACGTTGTTAACAATTCCATTGTTTTATGAATGAAATAACACAGAATGAATCACTAGAGTATACTGTACTACAAAATTACGACTCCAGTATTTGACCAAATTAACGATTTAACGATTAACGATAAATTTTGTCGCGTGTTCTTAGTATACGTATTTGTCTGGTTTCTTTGGTCGAAATTCTGGTCACTTGGTGTGAATATTTCTACCAAACATTCAAGTACTTGGCGGAACAACGGTACTACTATGTGGAACGGAACGATAATTCATTAGGAACGTATTGAGTTCTTTCTTGAACATGTGAAGCAAGAACACTTTTTGTCAGCGTTTTCATGAAACGTTCTGCGATTCCATTTGCTTCAGGATGTAATCTGTGTTTACATCCCATTTTTGAGGCGAAATTGGCAAATTCGCGTCCTTGGAATGGAGATCCGTTATCGGTTCTTACAACTGATACTGTCCCAAACATAGAGAAAATATTTCTCTGCCTCGGTATGACTGTTGCGGCTGTAATATTTTGCAATGTTTCTACAAACGGATACTTATTGTAGTCATCAATCACTACCATAAGATATACGTGTGAGTTTGGAATGGGTCCATAGAAATCAACGCTGATTTCATCCCAAATTCGTGTTGGTAGGCTGCACAACTTCATTGGTTCTGTTGTATTTCGTGGATCAATGCTTATACAAGTCATACAAGATTTCACTGTATTCAATAAGAGTTAACCAAACTTTTTCGCGTAAAATAAACAATTGTTTTGTTTTCACTAATCCGCTATGTGACTCGTGGGCAATGTCAATGACCTTCTGATGCATGTTTTTAGGTGCCACTTAAAAGAACTGTATGGTGTCCAATATGGACCACTGAATTCTGAAGAAAAGTTCATAGTTTTTGTTTTTCTTGCGCATTTCTTTATTCCATTTATTTGTTTTAACAGATTCTATCACTGTAGGCAACAATTTATCTTCTGTTGTCGCGGATGCTATTTCATTTAACGTCATAGCTTTGGGTACGGCACATTCAGATACAAATTGCACGTATTGTTCAGCTAAAATTGACTGAATAGTGTCTTCTTCTGCTGTATTTTCAAGAGGATGTCGACTCATAAAATCTGCAGGGTTTTCAGAACCTTTCTTGTACTGTACATGGAAATCATAATCTACAAGTCGAAGTCTCCACCTTTCGAATCTCAGTGGCTGATTCGATTTTGGATGATTGAAGATTGCTTCAAAGACACTTGGCATCTGTAATCAGTTTGAACGGTTTTCCATACAGATACATTCGACACAACGAGTCCATAGCATTCTCTTTCTGACTGAGAATAACGTTGTTGAACTGGTGTCAAATCTTTAATTGCTTGAGTAAGCTATTTTATTATATACTTATAAATGAAATATTGAGAAATATTGATGAAATAAAATGCATATTTTCATTTTCCGTATTTTCACTGTAAAAATTTATTTTTCACTGCAGTGAAACATATTTTCCGTATTTTCACTGGTGTCTCGCAAAACTACTTTCTTTTAAATTCTGCCAGTACACAAAATTTAATGGAAAGTCTTTCAAATTTTATCGCAAAAAAAAAAAGAAAAATGTATATAATAAACAGAAAATTCAAGTTTTTTCTATAAATGCATGATTTATTTTCATCTTGTGGCATGAAAATTATCATATTTCACTCGTGGCTACCGCCACTCATGAAATATTTATTTTCATACCACTCGATGAAAATAAATCATGTATTTATAGAAAAAACATGAAAATCCTCTATATCTTATTATCCTGGCTCAATATTCCAGCGACTCCTACACCACTTGCATCAACGGTGAGTTCGAGTTCTTTATTCGGATCATAGTACGACATAACAGTGTCCATCATATATTGTATGGATACTACAGATGAGTAAAATTCTGTCGTAAATTATTAATGAAACAAAAGATTGTCAAAAATATATTGGATACTAGTATTCACCAGTGGCTCTTCTTTTTATTATTACTGACGAATCTTTATAATACATATACTGGTGGATGATGCGTAATTCACCTCTGATGTAAAAACATATACATGTATCATGTATGCAAGATATCACCTATATACCTATACACCTATGTATAATTATAATATAAAGTTATAAACTCAACAAAACTTAACAAAATCAATTGCATGTTTTAAGACGGGCGTGAGGAATGTTGCACTTTTCATTAACCCACTTGTACAGATTCAATCAAACCGAGTCTGCAATTTTCATGTTATTTTGGTATGATAAAATTAATGCTTTCGAGGGACCATCCTTTCTCAATGTTTTTTTTTTTAAATATGATTATACCTTTAAGCAAATTTACAAATGATAATACGCGTATTCCCATGATTCCAGATAGTCTTTGCTGTATCAATCGATGATGATTTTGTCGGGGAAAATAGGTATTGCAAATGTATCTCATTCTCTCAGATTTATATAAAAAAAATAAAGTAAACAATGAAATGACAAAACAATAAAAGAAACTTTTATAAATGGTCGTCCATAGTCCGCAACTTGAATATTGACATCTCACACATGAAATTGAAAGAAAGACATAAATTCAAATATTTCATTGTTGTCGTAAAATATCAAACAGTATTGTGATTAGGCCTATAACATAGATCAAACAAGGTTAGCTTTTAAAAAAGCTAGTAGCGACTCGCTTCGTAATTTCTTTCCAGGGGCGTGTTTAAATGTAAAAATGACAGTTCTGTTAGCTGAAAAGACTTCAGCGAACATCAAAATAAAAGTGACATATAAAGTTAAGGAAGCCAGTTCTCTCAGTTTAACAAAGAGGAATATGAGTATATATGAAGATGCATGTAAACAGATAGAATGAAGTCCCTATGTCTATGCACATTTACTATATGGCCTGTTGACCTTGACCAGAAAAAAATAGATAAGTAGAATTCATAAAAATGTCTCTTTATACGAAGTTAAGTTGTAATATGTTATTTAGTATTGGAATAAGTGACAAATACAAGTCAAGTCAAGTAAATTTTATTTACAAGTCGGATACATCAACAATAAACATAAGCTCTGATGAGCTTTTTACACCGACTTCTATAATAGTTCTAAAGTAAACACAAGTTGTCAATCAATTCAGCCAGAAAAGCCGGGATCCTATTAAAAAAATAGGATCCCGGAAATTGACCAGTTTAAGAATATAGTTTTCAGAAAAGCCGGGATCATATTAAAAAATAAAGAGATCCCAGGAATTGGACAGTTCAAGAATATTGTTTTCAGAAAAGCTGGGATCGTATTAAAACATATAGGGATCCCGGGATTTGACCAATTCAAGAATATAGTCTTTGATTTTTCCAATTAATTAGGCATATAATTATAAGTATTGTGATTTTGTTAATAAATAGCTCTAAATATATCTATATCCTAAGTTAAATCAATTTAACTTTCATTACATACAATAAAAAAAAACTTAACGTTTAATGGCCTTTCATTACGACTATTATCAACACATATATAGTTTATTAGTATTTTCTTCTATTATCTTATACGATCCCGGATCCCGGGCGTCCCGGATCCCGGCCAGTAAATACATACACTATATACCGGAAGGGATGAAATGACCGGAAAAAAAGGAAAAAGAAAAAAATGCACAGAACCAGATGTCGTTCATGTTAATTAACCAAACGAAAACTTACTACAAAGTAAACAGGACTGGTGAAATCGCTAAATCAAAAGTCAATGTAAATATGATTTATTGAAAAGAATCCATGAAAACAAACATTTTAATCATCATTATATCTTTGCGCTCAAAACAATACTTGCTGCTTTTTAAAAATGGCGTGAAAATTGAAGGTTTTTTGACGCTATATGAGATCAAATTTGATTGGCTAAATAATTTTGGATCCTAGCCCTGATAGATAAATTTTGTAGAAAGCTGGAAGCAAAGCTTCAATTAAATTTTTGGATGGTTTCGGAGTTTTAGGTTGTTTCTCAGTAAAATCCTAACGTAATACCGGCTCGCCGTGGCGAGCCGGCAATATGCATTGATATTATTAAAATGTGTACAGGTGTATATGTGGCATCAAGTAACTTGTTAATACCATTCACAGTTCCCGTATGAAAGACTATAAATGTTAGTCACCTGAAATTCACCAAAATGGTTGCACTTTCATATTGTTTGTAACTTTGTTAACAACCGGCTGTCCAATCGAGACGTAAATTTGTAATAAATAAAAAAAAATATTAATTTAGTGTCCTTAGGCCTAAGGTTGTAATTTTGACGACACCGTATAATTACCTCCCTTTGCAGCGCCCCAGTGACGTCATTTGACAGCCATATTGGTGGTTGACCTGGCCAATACAAACCTAATAGAAATTTCAATACTTTGGAAGGTAAAAACGTGGTTATTATACCGCCGTAGTAATCGAAAGCGATAGAAATACATTTTCTTTCTTATATGAAAATTGTCTTGTGCTCATTCCTTTTATATCTTAGTTTAAATTGATAAAATTCCTGATGTTTACACGGAAGTCTAAGAAATTTTCGTCCAAAAATTTATTCGTCATGTGAGGAGAAAAGCCGAAATAGTTGTCATGATAAGGCGTTAATAGAATAAAAGTACAAATTAACTTTATTGTATTCATAATGTCATGTGTGTCATTGTTTAATGTAAATAATAAATTTTTGAATGTAGATCTATCAAAACCTAATTTTCTAGAAAGTGGCAAGATGATTCACCTCAACCCTTGTTATTTCACTCATAATCCATTTGTATAGATTCCAAAATATAAAAAGATGGTTCATCATAAGTGACCAGTGTTTTTGTCCCACGTTTAGGGGGATGGTGGCAGGGAAAATTGTGTCATTATAAAATCTATTTTCCTTTTCTCTCAAATTATTACCTCAGTACCCTTGCCACCAAGATAATTACCACTAAGGCAAGCATATACATCATATATGACAACTATATTTAGTGGGTGCTGATGCTATTCATCTAAACGTTACTGTTATAACTTACATCAGTATCTGTGCTTACCATATGATCCTTACCAAGTACATATCTATGTATGGGAATGGGATTGCTCCCATGCTACTAATTAATTGCTAAAAAAAGTCAAATTATGATATAAATTAGAATACCAATATTATTTCAAACTACATTGAAATGTTTATGACGTCATAAAATGAATCTCAACAAAACAACATTGAGGGGAATATTTTTAAGAAATGGGCTTGGGGGTAATACCTTCCTCTTCCTCTAGAGTATATACCGTATATACTCTAGAGGAAGAGAATTTTGCTTGATAAAAGGTTAACTCGGCAGAATATTTAAAAAAAATATTTGTGTACGAGCCTAAAGTAAATAAGATGATAAAGATGTTCTTTAGTCGCCCACTTAGGTGAAAGCACTTGATATTATTCAGGTGTTTAATAAATCAGTGAAGAAATCCAAAAGACAGCAGGAAAAAAGATATAAATGTGTTATCACTCCTGACGCTGAAAACCTATAGTACTGTAGGTTGTATAATGCTAAATTCACAGTCACTGATACAACACTTTCTACATATATGTACATATTCTGATTTCAGAAATTATATGTAATAAAATTACAAAGTGTAATCTAGCTCTAAAATGAAAGTCAAGGATACTGGATAGTCAACTAGCCATATTGACTCCCGTGGCTAAAAATCATATTTAAGTCTTAGTGTCCAATGATTTTGATAACACGTAATTGCTTGAGATGGTCATATATTATTGATATATCTCTGAATCATGATCCCGACAGGGACTTTGGATTCTTTCATGTGAGGAAGCTATCAAGCTAGCTTACGGAACGTCGGTGGTTCTACTCAGGTGCCCGTTCGTGCCTGGAATACTGCACAGAAGGGCACCTGAGGTATTCCTCCACCAGTAAAGCTGGAACGTCGCCATATGACCTACACTGTGTCGGAGTGACGTAAACCCAAATCAAACAAAAAATCTCTGAATCATGATTATTGCTATGATACAGTAATGATTCATTGTTGAGGTATCACTATCTGGCGATTTTTCTTTTATCTGACAATGCTGAAGTTTGAGAGATTTGTAATTGCTGTTTGTTTTTTACTTTGTTTGAAGCCAAAGGAATGTGTATCTTTGATACTTATTAAGATACTCTAAAATACTTGGAGTTGAATATGGGCTGATCTTTAAAGGTTCATTTTAAAAAATACAAAGAAGCACCATTTACGGCATTTAGCAGTATTAACACTTTAATATGCTCAGCCTCTAATGACTCAAGAAAGTAAAACATCATTGTTTTTAATCTGCTTATGCTCAACCTTACCTCCCCAACTTTGCTTTTCATCCTTCTCATACAGACATTTTAAAATAAAGAGAAAAAACTAGAAACAGTAATCTTCATATCAAAAAACAGTTACTCTTACTTACTGGTACTTTGTCAGGAATTCATTGACAAATAAAGTCACAAAGTTGTAAATTTTAATTATTAATATATCACTTGTGCTTTATGAAATATATGTAAGTATGTAAAATGCAAAGTTCTGTGACTGGCAAATGAAGTTGGGGGACACATTTCTAGTTGCAATATTATTTTAATTTAGATCCTGGGCCAGCTACAGTTACATGGTGTTGTTACCATTACTTCAACTTGGTATTATTTTATTTCAAAATAAAATAGGAAATTGTACTTGAAGACAGTCTGACTTGTAGTAAAATTTTAAATTCATCAATTTTATATTTTTGTTTTGTTTTATATTTCAGGTAGTTGTGTGAAATATAAGCAGCTACAAGATGGCTGCAGGCCCGTATAACTACTCATATATATTTAAATATATCATCATCGGGGATATGGGAGTTGGAAAATCATGTTTATTACATCAGTTTACAGAGAAAAAATGTAAGTAAATTAAGTAATTTGTTTTAGTTTGATTGTGTTGGAAGCTATTTTGAAACACTCTCAGATCTGTTCCTGGAACCAGCTAGTACTTCAACTACTTGGCAATGAGTGTTAAGGTTCTTTCTCATGAAAACAATGTCTTGCCCCTAACAGGGTTTGATCCAACTCAGCCAACAATCTTTAGGCTTATTATTTGTGCAACATGTTAACCACTCAGCCATGCCCCCAGTAAGTATGTATGTAAGTACATGCATGTCGTAACAGCACATGTTAGTAAATATAATACATGAAATGTTATGCCAAAAAGAGTGATAAAACTATAATTCTTACATGTTGTTGTTGTTGTTGTTGTTAAACTGATATATATCATGTTTTAATGAAGTTAATCAGTAGGATAAAATTCAATCATTTTAAATATTAAGGATTGTAGATATACATGTATTGAAGGAATAACTGTTAACATTGTAGTGTGACAGCTTTTTAGACAATTGTTTAATCTCTCATTGAATTAATTAGATTATTGTCATGAATTAACAACATACAGTATTGATCTGTTCCTAGCACTAACCTACATGCTGAATTGTATATGAATAGCCACTATAGACTAAGATAGCATTTGTAAATAGTTAAAAACAGTTTGCAGGGTAAACATTTTGTGAACATTTTTATCTGTTAAGACATTAGTCATATTAGGTATACTATTGTACAATAATTTCCTGTATCATATGTGTAATAGGGGTGGTTCGGCGCAATATAAATATAATTATCCGAGCCCCTAAGGGTCAAATGAGTTCGGGATTGTTAAAATCAAATCAACAAACAGCTGTAAAGTTCTATCCTGTTTATATACTGATCACATCAAACAAGTAGATTCTGTAGGTACAAACCAACAACACTCTGAAATAAGTATATAACAATATGTAAATATAAAGTAAAATAAAGTAGAAACAATGCATTAATTATTATCATATCTTACATAATCAATTACATGTCTAGTGGCCAATTCAGTTCTTTACCCTCAACAACAGTCCTTTAAATATAATATCATAGCTTATGGAATTATACACACAATTAACATATTTTACCTTTTAAACAATACACAATACATCACACATGTAACTTACCATCTGAGGGATGAGTGCAGTACATCAATCTAATTATTACCTCTCTGACTATCACACCAGTGACTGTTAACAACTTAGGTAATAAAGAACTTGACCACAAACACTAATTTTTCTAACCTCTCCTTTACAACATAACAAAGACACAATGACTTTTTCCCACCAAGAAATCACATGACATAAAAATAGCTTAAAACCATTGATCTGTGAACCAATTCTTAGAATACTGACCAATGTAAACACAAGATAAAATCAGTTAAAACCAATAGAGTAGTCTCCCTTGAAAGGTATCAGACAAGACTGACGGATTTGTCTCCCTTTGCTAAATTATAAAATCCAACAGTAAAGCAAGAGTATTGTCCCTTGTCCAATGTAAATATGTCACATAGACATTACAATTTTCTTATCAATACTGTAACAGGTACATGTATACATGTTACAGTTTTATTAAACCACAACAACAATCACTGAAGTACAATGGATATATGTTTATAACTTCAATAACATTTCATTTGAATGTATTCACCTAAAACTTTACTTATTTCTTTAAGGTCATAGTGACCCAATCATGTAGGTGGCTGGGCAAGACCCATAAATTATCTTTTTGTCTTTCTTATATTTAATACAAAAAAATCATTTGGTCATTTTTGATATCAGTTTAGGGGGATAATTATATTCTTTAGAGGGGTGTTGGAAGCATGTTATATTGACTCAGCATGAGGAGGTAAAATCAAGAGTCAAATACTGCTGTATTTGTTATTGAAGGAAAGGCTCTAAAAATAAAATTAACATGATATTTTGTTAAAATAAGATAATACTTAATTTGTCCAATATTTGTAGTTTTGAAATAATATATAATGTCATAATATTTTATGTTAAACATACAACATGTAGTATGAAACTAAACAAGTTCCAACAAATTGCTCAAGGAATTTTAAAACATTTTATTTAAGAGGAATATCTTGCTTAAGTAAGAAGTAGAAAAAAAAAGTAGTGTAATGGGTTTGAACTGTTGTAATGACATTATATGCCATTATATAGCAAACTGTTGCATATTTTATCATGTACATATAATTGAATTATTCATGTCCTGTAATCCTGATAATTGATATAAGTTTACTTATATTACAGTTATGGCAGATTGTCCTCATACTATAGGTGTGGAATTTGGTACTAGGTAAGTTTCCAGTCACAATTGCAGTAGACAAAAACATCACAGTGAAATTAAATGTTTGGAGATAAAGTAGTGCGATTGTGAAAGAAAGGAAAGAAACCAAACAATACTATCCATTGGAAGCTTAATAGTTAGCTTAGGAAAAAACCTATATCCATATACATATTTTTAGTGTAAAAGTAATACACTACTAATACTATAATATTATATTCACTTTCTTCCATATAAGCACTATATAAGCAATGACTTATTCACTTGCAGATAATTACCAAACTTCAGTAGGAAAATGTAAAATGCAAATAACTAAATTACAAATATTTAAAACATTATAAAAAGAAAGTTAAAGTTATCCCAGTTGCTTTAAGAATGTGTGACACATTTTTTAGTGTGATATTTGAATATTAACAAGATAGCCAATTTGACACTGTGATGTTTGAATATTTACAAGATAGTTAATTTGACACTGTGATATTTGAATATTTACATGAAAGTTAATTTGACCTTGTGATATTTGAATATTTACAAGATAATTAATTTGACCTTGTGATATTTTAATATTTACAAGATAGTTAATTTGACACTGTGATATTTGAATATTTACAAGATAGTTAATTTGACCTTGTGATATTTGAATATTTACAAGATAGTTAATTTGACCTTGTGATATTTGAATATTTACAAGATAATTAATTTGACCTTGTGATATTTTAATATTTACAAGATAGTTAATTTGACCTTGTGATATTTGAATATTTACAAGATAGTTAATTTGACCTTGTGATATTTGAATATTTATAAGATAGTTAATTTGACCGTGTGATATTTGAATATTTACAAGATAATTAATTTGACCGTGTGATATTTGAATATTTACAAGATAATTAATTTGACCTTGTGATATTTGAATATTTACAAGTTAGTTAACTTGACCTTGTGATATTTGAATATTTACAAGATAGTTAATTTGACCTTGTGATATTTGAATATTTACAAGATAGTTAATTTGACCTTGTGATATTTGAATATTTACAAGATAGCCAATTTGACACTGTGATATTTGAATATTGACAAGATAGTTAATTTGACCTTGTGATATTTGAATATTTACAAGATAGTTAATTTGACGCTGTCTCAATTTATGTAATATATTTCAGAATAATTGAAGTATCAGGGCAAAAAATAAAGTTGCAGATCTGGGATACTGCAGGACAAGAGAGATTCCGTGCAGTCACAAGAAGTTATTATAGAGGTGCAGCAGGAGCACTCATGGTCTATGATATAACCAGGTTAGAATAATAAAATATCAAATAACAAGTTTCAAAGCATTTAGTTTCATAAATGTAGCATCATCTTACATGATTGTTTGTTCATTATTGGTAGTTTATCTATTTTGGCAAGTTGGATATTCAGTTCTACTTTTACCATTGACTTTAAACTTTACTTACTTACTATGACAAAGACCATCATCTTTATTCTAGATTGAAAAAAAAGTTCTCTTGGTTTATTTCTCCAAACGATATTTCAGATAGAAAAATTCTTTACTACAAATTGGGAACAATATCAATTGTTCAATTGTTAGTGTAGAACAGTGATCCTGGGACATTTCTTAGATACATTACCCTATTTCTCACCATTTCTCTAACTTTATGCAGTTTAAAAAACTGGAATGGTTTACTTATTTCATCTTGTTAGATGTAACTTGTGTTCTACATGTACCATTGGCTTCAGGCTATACCCACATACCAATACAAAGACCTTGATCCTCCCAAAGTTAAATAACTGTAGCATTTGTTATACCAAGATGTCCCCTTTTACACATTTTGATAATTGAGGTTGTTACCTATTTAAAATTTTGATCAGTATTTGTACCATTCTCTGCTAGAACCTGTGACTTTATATTGGAAGCACTTGGCTTCAAAATCAGTTCCATGATACTTGTAAGTAATCTTAACTGTGACATCAGTTTTACATAGTTATCTCTGCTGTAGACACTGATACTTCATTTGTACAGTTTACATAAATGTGGCATGTATTTCCCCCCAGCTGTCTCCATCTTTACACATGGCCCTATCAAGTTATAGAAACTGTGTCCTTTTTGTTGAGTAGTCAACTTCCCCAAAAGGCAAACAGTTGCAAAGAAATTAATAACTGAATAATTTGTATTTTGCCTTGTTGACCCTTTTGAGTCAACTTATTGTTATTTTGTGTTATCCTATTTTAGCTTTGTCATAAAATTGAGAACTTGTTCTTTCAGGAGAAGTACATATAACCATTTAAGTAGCTGGTTAACAGATGCGAGAAATTTAACTAATCCAAATACTGTAAGTAGATATGTATATATTTTTTTAACCTTAAATCTGCTGAATTTGTGTAATTGACTGGTCCTACTTTTGAATTTGGGAAAGTTCATTAAAATTTGAAGGGATTTTATTATCAAATACAGCAGTTTGGCTACCAGCAGTATTTCAAGTTTTTCTAATATGTGTGTTATATGTAAATCTAAAGAAAAGGTTAACATTACTTTTAAATAATAAGTAATTACAGATTTATTGCAGTTTGTTACTTTTCCATTGTGTTTTGTCCAGAGCATAACTTGAAGACTAATGGTTGGAATACAATACAACTTCATACAATGGCCAAGCACATTGAGAGGAAGTGCAGTGCGCAAGAACCATAACTCTATTTAAACTAATTACAAATTTATTGCCCTTTGATACTTTTCCATGTCCAGAGCATAACTTGAAAAGTACTGGTTGGAATTCAAACCAACTTCATACAATGTTCAAGCACAATAAGAGGACATGCAGTGCACATGGTCCATAACTCTATCTTAAGTAATTATAGAGTTGTTTTCCTTTGTTACTTTTTCATTGCATTTTCCTTGTCTGGAGCATAACTAGTTGGAATTCATTGCAACTTAATACAATGGTCAAGCGCAGTGAAATGAAGTGCAGTGCCCAAGAACCATAACTCTATTTGGACTAATTACATAGTTATTGCCCTTGTAACTTTTTTTTGTCCAGTGCATTACTTGAAAACAAAACTAATGTTAGGAATTCAGTACAACTTCATACAATGGTAAAGCGAAGTAAGATGAAGTGCAATGCGCAAGAACCATAGCTCTATTTGGACTAATTACATATTTATTTCCCTTTGTTACTTTTTCTTGTCCAGTGCATAACTTGTAAACTAATGTTTGGAATTCAATGCAACTTCATACAATGGTCAAAAAGCGCAATGAGAGAAAGTGCAGTGCTGAAGAACCGTAACTCTATCTGGACTTATTACAGAGTAATTCAATAAAACTTCATCAATGGTCAACCACAGGGGAAGGAAATGCAACATAAAAGAACTACAACTATCTTTATTTGCCGCCAACTATAACTCTATTTAAATTATACAAGTTATTCTTTTACTAGTGACTTCCTCATTTCTGAAGCAGTCTTGCGGGGGAATTTATCACATATATTGATAGCTGGAGTTTTAAATGATATACATATATAATATTTCCATTGCATGACATCAATATCAGAATGTCAACAGTTGATTTATTTGTTGATTTTAGGTAATATTTTTGATTGGGAACAAGTCAGATTTAGAAGCACAAAGAGATGTTACATATGAGGAAGCTAAACAATTTGCTGATGAAAATGGTTTGTAATCAATAGATTAATAATAAGATATAATTTTGTATTTAAATTTTGTTTTTTGTTATCCCCCGCTGATGGAATCGGGAGGGGGATATAGTTTTGGCGTTGTCCTTCCGTCCGTCCGTCTGTCCGTCCGTCCGTCCATCCGTCCGTCCGAATTTCGTTTCTGGAGTAGTTCTCTGCAACTAATGGCTGGAATTCAATGAAACTTTATGGGAATGTTGATCAGCATGTGAAGTTGTGCACCTGGGTATTTTCGTCTGGATATTTTTAGTATTTTTAGAGTTATTGCCCTTGACTTAGAATTTCGTTTCCGGAGTAGTTCTCTGCAACTAATGGCTGGAATTCAACGAAACTTTATGGGAATGTTGATCAGCATGTGAAGTTGTGCACCTGGGTATTTTCGTCTGGATATTTTTAGTATTTTTAGAGTTATTGCCCTTGACTTAGTAAAATTTTGTAATTTTCAACTTGTGTCGCATGTAACTCAAAAAGTATTTGACCTAGAGTCATGAAACTTTACAGGAATGTTGATCAGTATGTGTAGTTGTGCACCTGGGTATTTTCGTCTGGATATTTTTAGTAATTTTAGAGTTATTGCCCTTGACTTAGTAAAATTTTGTCCGAATTTCGTTTCCAGAGTAGTTCTCTGCAACTAATGGCTAGAATTCAACGAAACTTTATGGGAATGTTGATCAGCATGTGCAGTTGTGCACCTGGGTATTTTCGTCTAGATATTTTTAGTATTTTTAGAGTTATTGCCCTTGACTTAGTAAAATTTTGTAATTTTCAATCACAATCATCAGTCACACGGGGCCAGAAAAGGAGTTTCAAAAATGCAAAATTAAAAAATCTTGTCTGACAGTACAAGGCCTAGAGCTTTGATATTTGGTATATGATATAACATTTAGGTCTTCTGCCAAAATTGTTCAAATTTTAGCCCTGGGGTCAAAATTGGCCCCACTCCAGGGGGTCATAGATTTTCCTTATATGTATATAGTGAAAACTTAAAATCTCTTCTTGTTTGAAGGTACAAGGCTTCAAGTTCAAAGAATTTTACAGTTTATGCCATGATTAATATATAAATAAAGCCTTATGTCTTCAGTTGTTGTGTTAATAATAACCAGTACTCGGCGGGGGATATAAATTCAACGAATTTGCTTGTTCTTTGAGGAAGTAGTTTCAATAACAGAATGTTACATTATAGTAGATCTATGGTGTTCATATTTACTTTATTATTTAGTCAGTTTTAGGTTTTAGATTCTTACCTCATGTCACTTGCCACTCAAACCTGAGGGTTTTAAATTCTGTCTGGGATAGTAGATTCCTTCATGTCAGAAAGCTATCAAGCTAGCTCAGGAAAGAAGGTTCTGCTCAGGTGTGATATAGGAGTGTTATTTTCTTAGATTTATTGACTTCAGTAAGTTAATTGTAGAAGAAAAAATAATCAAGTTAAAGTTTTATTTACCTTTACTAACAAGAATATTGTATAAGGTATTTATTAGAATCCTCTTTTATAGTCTATCTAAATTTTACAGGTTTGATGTTTTTGGAGTGCAGTGCGAAAACGTATGTATTTCTATTTGTAATATTCACAAAGAAAATTGTAATAAATATAACTATAAAATTGATTTGAATTTGTTTACAAAATAGTGAACTTTTTTTCTTTCTCATGATAAGAAATATTATAGAGAAGGTATTGACAATAATTTTCTCATGCTTTTAGTTGTTACGGTAATAGCTGTACATGTACAATACTTCTAGAGTCGCCATATGACCATTATAGTGTCAGTGTCACATAAACCAACAAAATAAAAATGACGCATATCATTCGTTTTAATGTTTCCATGTATGTTTAGTTCAAAATTTCATAAGAGCTACAAACATCTGTTCAAAATATTGCTATAACTGTATTGCTGAAAATTATTCTGGTTGATTTACAAATGTTGCTTATGTGAGATATATTAAAATTTGTTGTGATTTTCAGAGGTGACAATGTTGAAGACGCCTTTTTAGACACAGCCAAGAAAATTTACCAAAATATACAGGATGGCAGGTAAGCTGTCTGCAGCTTCTTAATTCTTCTAACCTTTAGAAAAAGGAATATTGTTTTTGCAATTCTCATTTATTTCTTGAATTTTGTTGGCATTTTCATATAAGTAGATTATTTTAATGAAAATAATTAAGTTTAAAGTATTTATGAAGATATAATGATCTTTAAAGAAATAGGTTGTTAGGCAAATCAAATAAAACACAATCTAATTGTTTTTCTTGATGAAATATATAGTCAGTTTACATGGTCATAATTATGTTTACATGAGAAACACTTTCAACATTAGAAGTTGTGATGAAACTTGGTTTGAATATTTGCTTGATTAATGTCTTAAGTTCATAATCAGTAAAGGTAATCAAACGAAATTACTGATAATCTTTTTAATCTGAAACTCTTGGGGGTATTTGTTGGACTCTTAGTATTTTTTTTCTAAATTGTCAATTTATTTGTCTGAGATAAAGACATCAAAACTGTTTTTGCATTTTAATAAAAGTTCAAATCTTAAGACAGGTTTGATTGTTACAATATGCCATGAGAAAATTGTGAACTAAAATAACTCAACAACCTTAACCACTCGTTTCTCAAAAAAGTTTTGCTTTGCTTAACACTTCATACATTAGAAATTAAATAAACGTTAAAAAAGATCTCTGGGATATTTACATGTAAGATCATTTTGTATTTCAGTTTGGATTTAAACGCTGCGGAGTCCGGTGTCCAGCATAAACCAGCCACTCCTCGTAATGCCCTCAATACTGACCAGCAGGCAACGGAGAAACAGTGCCAGTGTTGATGTTAAACTTCTAACATTATCTTACATTATACTCAACATTGTACAGTCTATATGTCTACACACTAACTCTTGTGTACAAGTTATGACATATATGGAAAATTGTTCACACACAGGTTACAGAGGTGGTAGACTGTATTCTGTTATACTTTATTTTAAGAAGAATTTGATTTATTACGGCTTGTTTGAACAATTAATTTACATTGTTAAAAGATTTGGTAAGACAATGATGTTGATGAGATATTGTGAACAATTCAAAAAACTAAAATGAAAAAGATTATTCAAATACTAACATCTTAAAAAGTTACTAGAAAATAATGAAGATTTTATGATATTGAAATGGGGTATTGTAGCTAGAATAGAAATATGTGATGAAAATGTATAAAAAACAATAGGAAAGATACTTTTTACTCTTGTGCAGTGCGACACTATTTTATTTTAGTATGTAACTAATGTAAGTGCTAGTTACTTACAGGTTATTTTCATAGAATAGTTTTAATAGCGCTTGCAATTTCTTGTGTTCTGTGCTAAAACCAACAGGTTTGGGCTAGTCACTATATACTTATTACTAAAACCATCAAGTGACATCAAGATACTATGTTCTAGATTAGAACTTTTTAATGATATATGATTTGAATGGAAGTAAAATAGAATTTTATCTACATATTAAGACCTTGGTATCTCAGAACAGCAATATCATTTATATCTGTTGATGTGTCCTCCAAACGTAGGTACATATATTCCTAGGGTTCACATATATAATTTATATGCTACAAATATTTACTTTAAAAAAACTGAACATGTCCAACGTATTACACTATGTTAAGGGGTTCGTTTCTAAAGACAAAAAAACTGTATTGACGGTTTATTTTCATTCTTGAGAATGAGAATTTATGATTACATCATTCCATGTTAATGTCACTTTGATAATAGTTTCTAGATGAATATAAGTGTGCTTTGAATTGAGGGTATGCATTTTATATGTTTAATTATTAATGTACATACAAATAAGGTGTTGTATTTATGACTGATAAAGAAAACATGTTGTAAATGTACGTGTATGTGTGTGTTTGAATGAGCATATTTTTAACTTAGTGCACATCTTATAGCAGTGTATTATATAGGTTTGGAGCTGCTATAATGTGTGTTGTGAAAGGTTGTAGTAAATATTGTCACCTGATCAAATTATACAAAACATAAGATGGTACAGCCTCGTCACATGGTGACTATGTAGGAGACTAAGTAAGTTCTAGAGCCTAAGATGATATAAGATAACAAGAGTGTATACAAACAGGGTGATAGGTGTTTAACTAGGCATCGTTGTTGCTATAGGAGATCTAGACATCATGTAAACAGGTTGGCTTCTTTATCAAGAGTATTTCAACCTGCCATAGGTTATAGTATTGTATTATCATATAACAACAGTACTGTTTATCATAGGAATGTTAGAGTGATTTGACAAGTTTACAGCTTTCATTAAAATAATCAAGCCTGCAGCTAGCATTGGTCAAGTCTATACTCGAATATTATAACTCTTACATGTTTGTTCAGAAAATATGTTTTCTTCAAGAAATCCATAGCAGATAGGCCAACTGTGGGCTTGTGATATTAGTGAGTGTTAGATTTGAATTGTGACAGATATTTTTGCATAGAACATTTTAACTACATACATGTAAGATAGTAATATTGTTTTCCTTCATGTTAGAATAAGCTTTTCAAGACGTGTTTTCATATGGGACCACTTGTATATACTAATGGATAAATTTAGTCTAAGTTATATCATTTGATGCCTAGTACTTTTTTGTACAAAAATAATTTCTGGGTTTGAGAACAAGACTGTTTTATGTCACATGAAGTGTTAGTGTGAACTTTAACTTTGTTTACAGTGGAAGGCAAATGTTTCTTGTAAAAATATTGGTTATTTTTACGATTTCATTCTAGAAAAGATCTTGATCACACATTATGATTATATTTAAAGTGAAAACCATACTTCAATGTTAATATGCAACAAAACCTTATAAATACAGACTATACGCATTTTTCAAGTGCAATATTGTACAAGGTAGGAGCAAATTATTTTAAAACAGAGGAAAATTTTAAGAAATGTTTATTATTCATGTTGGAAGCAAAAATTTGAATGCATAATGCAAAATATGAAACTTATGCATTTTTTTTGGCAATTTAAAGTGTTTTTGTCGATGATGTCTTAGGTTTGGTAAAATAACTATTTGTACAAACAACAATTCATTAGATCACATAAAAATTTACACAAATCTGGAGGCATGCTGTTTTTAACTCTACCTAAAATCAAGACTGATTTTCAACATAATGATTTAATAAAAATGTCATCTTTTTATGGACAGTGTCATACAATGTATGGCATTAAATAGCTCTTTCATGATATTGTATGTTTTTGCTGAAGCACTTTTATTTTAATAACATGTTTTGAAGTAGGTAATTTTTTGACCTTGTTGAACTGGAATAAGAGGAATGTATTTTGTCAGTACTCACAGATTCCCACATTTATCTTTAGGTTTTGTTTATTTCTTCACCATAGGTTTATGTTTCAAAATTAATGAGCTTCTGTTGAATTTACTATCACTCATCTGTGTCCTGTAGATGCTTATATGATAATTGATATGCTGAATTATTCTAGTATATTGACAAAAGTGCTAGCACAAGGCTTCACTGGTCTGTTTAATTATGTGAATTTCTGTGTAAATTTGTGAGCACCATGCGTTTTCTATCTGCCATCTATTGCTTCACAATAAATTACATAAACATAAAGGTGTTTTCTAAAGTAAGTTGGCATGTTTATTTACTGGAACAAATTCATCTTTCCATCATATCCTTACATGTTAGAACAGGGTCTTGGTGGTAAGGGTAAGTAACAATTATGAAAGATATTGTGCCAAATGAAACTTTTTTGTAGCATTGTTTTAAAAAAATGAAACGGGCCATCTTTTGTAAGCTGTTTAACAGTGTTAAACAAAACTTGGAATTTTGGGATATAAACAAAGTCTCTGTCCCATATACTGTGTCTTTACTTTTATCACACACCCGTGCCGATTTTGCGACTCCGTAAATATGGTATTGCACGGCCGTGCATATATTTTGACGTGACGTCATTAGCGTTATAAAAACAAAGAGTAAAGACGCGCTAAATGTTAGCGTTATACTATAGGCGCGTCAATGAAAAATGACTCTTATTTCACTTTAAACGGTCTTTATTTTGGGTATGTGATAAATAGAATATTAAATTCGTGTATGTTCATTACTGAATTTATTGCACTCGTTGAATAAAATAATATTATCCAACTCGTGCAATAAATTCAGTATTGAACTTACACTCATTTAATATCCTCTATTTAGTATATTGTTTCTATGCATCTCAGCAGTGAAATTTCTAATATATTTGATAGTCTACAACTTAACATATTTCTATCAAAAGAATTAGAAAGACATATTTTTACTTACAGCAATGTCCGAGTAAAAAAAATCTATAAAATTTCTTGTTTCACAGCAAATAAACTTAAAAAAACACATACTGTGGTTAGCTTATAATGTAGATTGAGTGTTTACGACTGAATGACTATATGTATTAGTTTGAAATTAATTTGTGTATTCAACAATGTGTATGTACAATATGTTTAAATTATTTTCTTTTATGTATATTTCTTATTGTGTTTTTATCCCAGAATTAACCATTATTAGGTTTATTATTGCACAGTTCTATGGCATCACTATATAATATATGTTGTTCATTTGAACAAATGGTAAACTTGTTCAAAGTCATCTGGTTGTCAGCATTTTAATGGTGTGCTGGAAAACTCTACACTGTAATCAAAAGAAAGAAATTATAACTTTAGTAACTTGGCATCCTTACAGTTTGAATTGGCATTTATAAAGATCTTGGCATAAAAATTAAGCCATATTTGTTTCTATCATGGTTATTTTTAACCACAGATAAAACAAAATGTCCATAGGAAAAGTTAAATATGTCACTTACCTACATGTATATTAATTGATATGATTTCTACAGGGGCATATGCATCTATGAGATGCGTTATAACATTTTCATTTGATTTTCATTAAATCTGAAACTTATAAGAAGGTGAAAATTTATATTTTTATGATACATTTTTGGAAAGAATTATAAAATATTGTAGCAAGAGATAACAACTTTTACAAATGGTATGCTGCAGTAGACAAATATAATATTTTTAACAAGTAGATATCATATCATGAATTGGAAAAACTAGAAACAGGCATATTTCTCAAATTTATTGCAAAAATAAGAAATACAAGTTAAGTAACTCATGTGCACCACTTTCCAAAGCTTTGTATGTATATTTTATTTAGTGTCAAATGTTTTATGAATATCAGTGTAGGTAGATAAGTGACATTTACAGTTGATATGATTTTTTGTTGCAATATGATTTTATTGTTATAAATTATTATTCTTACATTTCAAGTTTATGTTGTGTAGCATGAATGATGTATAAGATATATGAAATAAATAAAACAACTATGAACTGTGTTCAAGTCTGTCTCTTATTTGTATTGTTTAGAGAAACAGTGATTTAGGTATGTTCTAGAGAAACAGTGATTTAGGTATGTCCTAGAGAAACAGTGATTGAGGTATGTTCTAGTGAAACAGTGATTTAGGTATGTTCTAGAGAAACAGTGATTGAGGTATGTTCTAGAGAAACAGTGATTGAGGTATGTTCTAGAGAAACAGTGATTGAGGTATGTTCTAGAGAAACAGTGATTTAGGTATGTTCTAGAGAAACAGTGATTTAGGTATGTCCTAGAGAAACAGTGATTGAGGTATGTTCTAGTGAAACAGTGATTTAGGTATGTTCTAGAGAAACAGTGATTAACTCATATACATGTATTCATGATTTTATCCATAAACTCGTCAACGAAACCACTAAAACAGTATCTTGAAAACTGAATATACTAATGTTCTTTATTTTACCAAATGTTAAAAAAACTCCATTGAATGCAGAACCCAACAGAAAAAATGATCTTATTGAAAACTGTGTTTGTCAGATTTTTCCCTTTTAATGTATGTACAGAAAAACTAAGAAAAAATGTTTAGTTTATTTTGATATTATTTCACAGAAATGATCCATGAAGATTATTCAAATAATTTTGATTGTTATTTAAATGGGGTTGCACAGAGGTGATGTCCATTTTACTACTATTAATAATTCATATATAACACTGTCTGAAAAAATATTTTTATAAGAACTAAATGAACTTTGAAACTTTAGAACAGTAATTTACATTGTTCAAAGACTTAGTGCTGTTTACAAAAATTGAGGTATTAGGTTCCCTCATCCTTGGTATTTATTTGTTGTATCCACTCACATTTTCTGCTTGTGTGTGGGAGTCTAATTTATTCTGGCAAAGTGAGTACATCATACATTAATATAAGCCTGAACAGTGAATTTGCAGCTTTAAGTAAGACATGAAGCCAATGTGACATTCATGTAATGTAGCATGTATTTTAATAGAATGAACAAAGGCAAAAAGTCAATCTTCTGCTTTAAATGATTTTAGGTATCAACTTATTCAATAACTGCCTAAAATAAATGGTCCTGTCATCTGTTAAAAAACAAATGTTTTCACCTTGATGTGGTGTCACTTATAATCCATTAAATCTGCTGGTGTCTCTGTAATTTAGACATTCTGGTCATTAAGGTCAGGGCAGTCATAAGATTTTAAGTGCAGTAGTCATATTTCACATTTACTATTCTTTTGGGGTAGTGGCCTTATAGATGTTTTTGCTATGTAAATATTGGTAATTGTACTAAAAAAA